GGTCTTCCAATAGCAGAGAATGTAAAAAGACTAAACATACATGATACTCAACATGGGAGGAAGTCGAGGGAGGAAAGTAGAATATTCAGACAATAATGAAGGTATGGCATCTGTGAAAATACACACACACAAAAAAAAAAGGAGGGTGGAAGAAACAATTGGGTAGAGGAGGAGTCCTAAACTGTAGCAGTTTCAAGAAAACTGATGGACAGTGAATAGGACAGAATTGGCTGTGGAGGAGTCTGTTTCAACACAACAGATCTGACTTGATACTGCATGGTGCTCTGTCACACACTGGAAGAAACTCACAGGAAGCACAGCCTCACAGTGCCAAGTCTCAGCAGCTGGAGATATAAGCCAGTTATGATGTCCACAGCAGCGATCTGACTAGCATATTTTCATGGCTGCCACAAAATGGAGTTAAGGATGAAGCTCACCTGTGAGGATCCTGATGGAAAACTAGAAGGTCTCATGAGCTCTCTCATTAATTGATTTTGATTCCTGTGTTAAAGCTCCAAAATACACAAAAGAATAGATGTGTTTTGGAGGGGACATGGGCATTGGGAACCAACTCTGGCATGTAATTGGGCTTCAAATATAGATATAATTAATATTCCATAATTTGATTCACGGTGTCTGACCATAGAAGAGAAAAGCCATGTCCTGGACCTTTGGCATAAAGGACCAAGATTTAAGAATTTTAAGGGAGTTAGCAAAGAAAGACAATTACTTGAAAGCAAAACAAAACAAAACAAAACAAAAAGATGTCATTTTCCAAGGTTTCTAAAACTGTACTTCCTGGGACTCACTGAAGAACTTGCAGTTCAGGCATTTCCTCTGAGGGAATTAGAAGACCAAGCCCTGTCCAAAATAGCCAGACTTCCCATCACTGAGCCTCTTGCAGTAGGCGACACTCCTTTCTTCATAAGCTTACCCTTCAACCAGACCCTAGCCCCTACTCCTACCCCACCTTTGAGTAATCACAGTCCACACATGGCTCAAATCACAAAATACACTCTCATAGTTTCCAGGAGTCACCTCCAAATTTTTCTGAAAGAGGGAATTTGAAGTGGGATGGGGTACAGATGCCCTAAGGGAACCAATGTTTTACCACACCAGACTCTCCTAGGAATTCTGCACCACTATTCATAGTACTACAGTCAGTGAAATGAAAAGCGGTCAGTTAGCAAACAGCTAAGCCAAAACCTCTAGTGAGATGTTAAGTAAGAAAGGAAAATCCTAACATCTCAGCCCTTAATGAAGAATCAAGACCTCAGTATCAGCTAAAGAACAATAAGGCCAGAGCTAGGCAAGAAAGTTGTCAAAGTTACAAAAGTAGAAAGGAGCTCAGGAGAAGTTTTAGAGGAGTTGAGGCTGAGCATGAGGTCAGAGCAGACAAAACAGATGCCCTCCAAGCAGGGCAGCATAGAATTCCACAATGAACTCCTCCATGCTGAAAATAAGAAGACTTTGTTTAATTACTGAATTATGGGCTTGAGGGAAATACCAGTTTTAGAATTCCTTTTATGTTACTGAATTATAAGTTAATCTTTTATCATTTTTAGTTGTTAGCAGACACATCTTTCTAAATAGGGAACTGTGGGATGGGTCAGAGTTGGGAATTTTACTGGCAGCTTCAAGAAGCAAGTGTCAATTTAAAAGTCAACTATGCAGGGTATTGAATACAGACCACTGGCAAAGCACTTCACTTGCCTAATGTTCAAGGTCCTGGGTTAAGCCCCCAAAACTGCAAATAACAATATAATTAATAATAGATAAATAAAAACCAACTATACAGACAAAAAACATTTTATTCCTGTATTTTTAGGAATAAATGTACATATCCCAGAGCAGCCCTAAGATTAATTTCTGGTTACATGACTAAATGTCAAGTCATGTGATGATCCTTCATGCTAGGTCAAAATATGCCATCTTTCACAAAACAACAATGTTTTTTCAGTGTTACTCCATGTAAAACTGTAATCATCATTCATGTGTTAACTCATCCATTCCTTCCATCAAACCCATCTAAAAATACTACTTCTATTTCCTTTGTACAAAGGAGGAAAGTAAACTAGAGGTTAAGAAATTTCCCCATGGTCATTCAGTTCTTAAGGGCAAGAGCCAGGAATTGAACCCAGTCTGTCTTCCTTTCAGGCCCACATTCTTAGTCACAACACTCTGAACTTGAAAGCCATATTAGTGCTAGAAATACACATTCAGAAATACCATATATCCTACCTGAATTTGCTCAAAAATGAATTTTACATGACATAAACAATATTCTCATTGACTTGTCAAAATTGATGACAGGAGGTAAATCAATGTCTACATAAGCTGCATATATTAGAAGGGATAACACTTTGTAATTTGAAGAACAAATATTTATCTTGATATATATTTTTTAAAAAAGAATAGGAAGTAATGAAGAATATATGGATGTAAGGAAGAAGGGAGGTAGGAAAGGACAGAGGGTGAGAGGGCGATTTGCCCGGCAGGGATGCTTGGGATTTTTCCATCCTCAAAAGTTAAAACCTGCTGATAATTTTAATAAGATGATGATGAAGTGCAAGCATGGAATGGAAACTAGAATCCAAAACACCTGCTTTTCACCCGACTGCTTTCATCATCAAACCACAGGTTTGTGGAAAGTGATACCTTAGGGGAAGAATTGCTGCATAGGTCATTGTTAAACAGCCTTCATTAATCCAGCACTATATATAGTGAACTGTGAAAAATGCTGTTACTGGTGTCTTGTGAAATTCTAGTACCCTGCAAAGTTGATGTTATAGTCTACTTTTTAAGATGAGGAAAGAGACAGTCAAACAAGTAACTAAAGTAGCTTATCAAAGACCTAACATCTTGATCTTTAAATGATTGGACAAGAATTCAAACAAACATCTATGGGACAGAAAAGTTATTGCTTTCTGCCAAGCATGGTAGTGCATGCCTGTAATTTCAACAGCTTTAGAGGCTGAGGCAGGAGGATTGCAAGTTTAAAGCCTTCCTCAGCAACTTGGCCAGACCCTATCTCCAAATAAAAAGGACTAAGAATGTGCTCAGTAGTTAAGTTCCTCTATTTCAATTTTTTAAAAAGCCTACTACACTATTTTACTCATAGTAGTATCAAATTTAAGTTTAAACTAATATTCATACTCATTAAAACACAGCTCCTTGTCTACCTGGTTATTCTTCTTACCACACTGAAATTTCCCAAAGAAGGTTTTCCCCTTCCCAAACAATCCTATGTATAAAAAACAAGTCTGCCTTTCACCCTTGGTCCCAGGAGGAAGCAGGGGAGAAGAAGGCAGTGTCTCTCTTCTACTAAAAGTCAAAACTGGCACTGTGGTAGGGTCAGGAGGAGCCCTATAGTCTTGAGCCAGGCCAAAGGACTCCCAGGCTCCACCCTGCACCCTCTGTTAACTATGGGGAGAAGGATCCCTTAGACCCAGGCTTCAGATGACCAGCCTTACAAGGGAGTATTGCCATAAATGTCTGTTTCAGCTTGTTGTTCCCCAGAATGAGAACAAATGAGTGGCCAACAAGATAAAACATTGTAAATATTTCACCAACCATCTGAGCCATTTTAGCATCTGGTAGGAAATGAGTGGATGACAAAATTATAAAGGAAATAAAGTAAAGTAGGAAGAGAAGCAGGAAGGAGAGGATGATCCTGGTAGCCCTCTCGTGGGCCTCAGTACTTGGATCTCTAGAACTGGTGCCATTTTGCTGCATCTGCCAGGTGTGTCTCCGCAGAGAGAGAATGAGCAGAACATAGGCAGTCAGGGACACAGTTAAGGGAGGGACGTGCCACAGATTCCCAAGAATGTGGATCAGATGATATTCACTTCTCTTCTCTCTGAAGTGCTCAGTCACATTACCTGTGCTATCAATTCCACGGAGCAGAGAATTGATCTTAAATTCATTGATCAGAGACATGGTACTGCAACATGACAAAAGCAGTGTACCCAACAGCATCCATACAACCACCCTGGAAACCCTCCACTTGAGCCAGAGGAATGCAGGGTGGGAGAAACTGGCGATTTTCAGGCAGTAAAGGACACCAAGGCAGGTTATAAGCCATGTGCTCAGGTAGTTTGTAAATGTCCAGAAAATGTCAATAATTTGCATTACTGTTCCTGAATCATGAGTTTTGTAAGAGAATGTTATCAAAACACCATCAGTCAAGAAAATCCACAGAAGAACAATCCTGGAGAGGGCCAGGCTGGTGATGATGAAGTCAGATAAGGAGATTCTCTTGCTCCTGAACAAGCTTCTGCCATTGACCAAACCAATGAAACCATTCCCCAGATTTCCAAGAATGAACTGGGTGATAATCAGAACCAGAAACACCCCCTCAACGGCTCCCATCATTTCAGCAAGCAGGCAGCCCCGATCTTTGTTCTTTCTGTGAATGTATATAGTTTCCTTGCTGATTTCAAGTTTTTTTCTGAGAATCTATCTATTCTGTCTTCAGCTTGCTTCACTGTACCTGTCTCTGGTCTCTGCCCAAGTTAGTCTGCCATACAGCACAGTTTACTGAGTCCTCTCTGGCTCTGTCAGGTTGTTTTGCTCTATTAACAGATGACATGCAGTGTCACTTTAATCTATGAACCTAAACTCAGCAGCTCTTTGCTGAAATGCAAATAGAGTAGTGTCCAGTGTCACCCAGAAGGAAGACATCCGGGTCACAAAGAATATGGAGAAAGTGGACTCAGTTTCAAAGGGCACAGGGGTGGAAGCCACTCAGCACAGAAAGCATCAAAGAAGTCAAAAGAATCACTCAGAAGCATGAAAAGCCTCAGTTCCTATGAGGAGGACTCAGAGACATACAAACAGAAGGGAAACATCAGAATTCTACCACAAAGCACTAGCCCTCATCCTGGAGGAAGGGTAAGTGCACAAAATAATAAACAAAAAAATGAGTAAAATAATATGCTAGTCTATATCTTTCAATATGCTTCTGTCTCACAAAATTGATTTTAAAACCCACTAATACGTTGTGATCAAGACTATTTGGAAACAATGTCTGATATATGGAGAAGGAATCAATGCCATCAAAACACAAAGCAGAGAGGGCATGGACATTATGCACTGAAAGACACTTTTAAGTCTCCTCAAAAGGACGTCACAGAGTAGCAGATGATAAATCTCAATGAGATATAGTCTCATCTGAACAGATGCCAAGGAATCCCTCAACTGAGCGAGGCAAACCTCAGCAATATTGGCACCATGTTGTACACAATACACCTCAGGAGCACTGGAGAGCACTCAGGCATAAGTTCACCTTCATGACCCTTTGCTTTCTCAGGCCAATAGGAGAACCTGGCCCACCTGCTTCCTGACCTCTGTGCAGTGGAATCACAATAAGGTCAGATTCTCTTGTTTCTGGAGTCCACTAACTAGACCTTACTCCAGTGACCAGGATTATCCTACAACCTACCCTTGTCCCTGTTCAGTTTTCTCATACTCTACGTTCTATAGATTGAGATCTTTTTCATATCTTACAATCTCTTTCACATTACATGAGAACAAATAAATATAACACTCCTCTAGTCCCATTGGAATTATTCAATGAGGACAAAGCTCAGAATACACAGCATGTTCAAATACATGTCACATAACATTTCATGTGTGATCATACTTTTTACTAACTTTCATAATTTCACCCCTTCCACCTCAAAACTATCACATCCGAAACGACTTCTCAGTTGATTCCCACTTTAAAAGAATTAACCTTTCCTTCCTTATTCTTGCCTGTTTCAGCAAACGTTAACATTATCCAGTTCCTTAAATCAGGCACCACCTAAGAATTAACTTGATTTTTCCCTTTCCTCTCACCCTGTATCCACCCATCAATGACTTACACATTTTAATTATAAAATATGCCTTGGATATTCCATTTCTATAACCTCCATCCTACTCCAAGATGTCATCATCTCTCATCTGTACTAATTGATGCCCTTCCAACATTTCTCCCCATTTCTTGTCTTCCCCCATAATATATTCCCGACTTAGCTACAAGAGTGGTCTTCTCAAAATGAAAATCTGATTGATCATTTTGTTTTGTTAGTTACTACTTCAGTCACTTCCCACTACCATTACAATAAAATATATACTCCTTACATTGCATTGTATACTAAGGAATCTCCTCTGGGTATCCTTTCATGCACCAGTTCAAGGCAAATTTTACAGTATCACATGGTTTGTGTTAAAGAACAGGCTGCATTAAATGGAAACCTGCATCATCAGTAGAAATAAGACATAGTTCCTTCTTGTCCTCTTATTACACACAGGGGCCAGGGCACTGTATGGTTTGCAGCAATCTTCTGTGAGCTGATGGAGATACCCCATCTCCCCTGTGTCCTTTCTTGAAGGAAAAATGTAAAAGGAACCACATCAGTAGGCAAATAATTTTCTGTCAGAAAATCTGGACATGAGAATTCCATGCACTATTGAAATAGAAGGAATAGTGATGATCATCATTTATTCACTAACATAATAGACTACCTAGGCTAGAAAATAATAAACATACAGGGTATATAATAGCGCTACACAAAATAAACACCTGTAATTCCACCATATATTTCTTCCTCTCCTGCCCTTACTTGTTTTCCCCAAGTTTCCAGGATAACTCATCTTGAATATTATCATTCCCTTTTACTTTTGAAGTTTCATCACATGTACCAAACCATAAACAATTGACTTGTTTGATACTAATCTTTATTACACTAAGATCTTCTACACTCTTCTCATGTTGTCTTACTTCATGTATATCTAAAAGCTATTCCTATTAGAATGTTAACTATAATTATTTTATACAGTTGCACAATATTCCACTACATGAGTATTTATTCTTGGTGAACCTTTGGGTTGTTGTCAGTTTTTTACTATGATGTACATTGCTGCTATGAGCACCCTTGGACATTTTTCATGGGATATATTCAGCAAGCATTTCCTTCAGGGTATATGCCCTAAAGGTAGAATAATTGTGTGAAATTTCATCAATGACAAAAGACATTTTCCCAAATGGGAATGCCAATTCACACTGCCTTCTCCTGTGCATGTTTCCACTGATCTACAGCATCCTCCTTCACCCTTAGCAAATGTTGACATTTGCCACTCTAGAAGGTTTAACATGAAATCTCATTGTGGCTTTTGTTTTCCATTTCCTTAATTGTCAAAGGGAACCTCTTTTACATATATTAAGTCATTTGTATTTCCTTCTGTGTCTTTGCTCATTTTTTCCACTGAGATTTTTCTCATTACTTTGTAGGCTTTTATGTGTTTTAAATAATTATATTTCAGTTATATGATTGCAAGTATCTTCTCGGCTTGTGACTTATTTTTTTGCTTAACAGTGACTTATGATAAACAAAAGCTACTTTCACTTTTAAAAAATCCATATACCCAAATCATAAAGACATTGTCCCTTTTTTTCAACTTTTAAGTTTTATATTTTACAAACAAATTCAAATAGCCAGATATATTTTTGCATACAGTATACAGACTTTTTTTTTTTTGGTATGGATGACAAATTTCCTCAAATTTATTGAATATACTTTAGCCACTGATTTATAATCCCACTTTCGTCAGCTATTATTTCTACATAAGCATAGTCTGTTTCCGGACTAGTCTGTACTACTTTGGGATTTGTTTATTTCTGTATCAATAGTATACCATATTAGGTTTAAAAAAAAAAATACTTGCCAACTGAGAGAGCATCTACTCCATTTCTCATTCTTCATGAGTGAGTATGTTGTTTGTTCTTTGACGTTTGGTGAACATATATTTAGAAATAATTTGTAAAGTTCCCTCAAACTCCTGAATTCTTCTATGAATATAATTCAATAAATTTCTATAATGTTCACCATAGAGATCTTGTACTGTAGACTCCTTGCAAGTTCTGGTGCTTTTAAATGGCACCTTTTTAAAAATTACAAAATGGTGGCATTTGTTGACATAAAAATTACATTTTCGTTGTTTATAGCTGGCACCTGAATACTTATTTCCAGCAGCTCTTAATATCTATATTCATATATAATCATATTCAATATAATCAAAGCACTTGTGAATTCTTTCTAATAAAACACTTTTCCCTTTTCCTCTTTCAACAGCACTTGCTAGAACCTAGGTAGAGGTAATTTGTTAAAAGATGTGGTAGAAGACATGCCTATCTTGTTTTAAAAAAAATTAATGTTTGAGGCATATTTTGCACATTACCTTCATTTCCAAATCATAATGCAAACATTGACACCTATCATCACAGAACACCATTTTCTATTGCTCACTTCAGTTCCTATTTTAAACTTGTCATTTGGGAGTTTTCCCTTTTCTGCAAGCCCAATGCTATGGACTGCACTAGGTCACTGCCACATTCCCCAATTTGCATGCTGAAGTTCTAACCACCAACATAAACCTCTACCTTGTGTTTGGAGATGAAGCCCCTAAGAAGGTAAAATTAAATGAGGTTTAAAAAAAAAAAAAAAAGGTGGGGCCCTAAACCTCACAGGCACACAAGAGTTCATGTGAGTGGAGTGCACAGCTAGATGACAGACATCTACAAGCCAGGAAGCTTCACCAGAAACTGCTGGCAGTGTCATGCTGCCACACCAACCTCAAATCTTCAGCCTTCAAAACTTGAGAAAATAAATCGTGGTTTAAACCCAGTCTATGGTGTTTTTATATGGTAGACTATGCAGACTAATACACATAATGATGCAATAATAAGTATTTTGTACTTTGGATCTGGTTACTTTGCAGTGAGAAGCCTCGGTACTCTCCGGGGAGTGTAAGGACAGTACTTCTATTCTTAAAATTAAGTGCTTCTTTATTTAATGGGGAGTTATTGATTAGGGGTCCTCATTAGGGAGTACACACAAAATGAAACTGTATAACAAAAAAGTAAGATGTTATTAACTCTTTCTAAGGCTAACTGCTAAGGTCTGTGTACTTTATATGCCCCAGTGTCCTCCCCAAATTTATGAGATGTAGGATAAATATCTAAAGGATTATGTGATCAGAGATAAAATTTTACTTCTATTTTCAGTGGAAGGTGATATAACAGAAAGAAAGGATAAGAGTAAAGGTAAAAATGTATAAATTAATAAGGATTAGTTTTAACTGCATACAAATAAGTGGCTGAAACAAGGAAAAGGTTTATTTGCATCTTCCAAAGAAGTCCAGAGGTAGACTGTGCAGTACTGGTCACATGGCTTCAGGAGATCACAGATCCCAGCTTCTTCCATCTTCCATCCTGAAGATTGCTGTATATTCAGGATGTCTGCTACAGATTTAGGCATCACATCCGCATTTGAGATAAGAAAGATAAAGTCAGGGGATAAGGATCTGGAGAAACACAAAGTATGAGTCTCCAAATAGCATTACTTCATATAAGAATTTTCCTGGAAGCTCCAAGAAATGACTTCTGTATATAGTCACTTGGCAAACCCTAACTACCAAGAAAAGAAATGTAGTACTTAGGGTGAGCACAATGACATAACTAACAAAATACTGGTTCTGTAAATATAAAAGACACAATGGAGACTGAGTAGTATGTTCATTTTGTTTATTGTTTATATTCTAGGAAGCTTGGACATTTTGGAGCCTTGTAAACCCAGAGAGGGGCTGTTCCTTCCAGGATTAGTTATTTCCTAGAATTGGCGAAAACACATCTTTGATATGCAAAAAAAAAAAAAAAAAAAGAAGAAGAACAATTCTAAATCCACACACCCTCTATTGGGTTTATCAGCCCCTCCCTTGTTTACCCTAGAGAGAGCCAAGTATCTGACAACTGGGGATCATACCTACAGCTCAAAATTTGTTGAAATTATTCAAACTACCTAATCCTAAACTTGCTCCGCTAGCCTACTCTGCTTTACCTGTTCCTTCCCCATGAAAAACAAAACAATGCTTTGCCCTTTTCCTTTATGCTTCCATACCCAACCCTGGTGCTTCCTCAATTGGGCCCTGCATCACACTGTATGCCTCTCCTCTTAGGAACTCTAAGCAAGAAAAAACTTATTTTAAAAGCAGTTGTCTCCCTGTCATATTATCATTATGTAATTAAAACAAATTCTAGATAAACAAGCAACTAGAAATCTTTTCTACAACAGAAATCTGGAATCCTGAAAATATTTGAAACTTATCTCACAAAACCTGTTAACAATGTGTTTAACAGAAGTCAAAAACAAACCCTGTTCTCTTCCAAATTCAATTAATGTAATCAACACCCTAACAAATATCTGCTAAAAACTTTACAATTAAACTATGTTCAAAACTCAACTCAATATCTTTCCTCCTCTCAAATCTGCTACCACATCCCTATTCCATAAACTCAGAAGTATCACTATCCACACATGTATGTACCCAAGAGGAACCTCAAAATCATCCTTTATTGCTTTTTCTCTTACTAGATCCTATATGTAAGAGAAAAAGCTATAAGTTATTCTCCTTAGTATTTCTAACTCAGGATCTGGCACAGAACTAGAAAACAAACTAATAATTTGTTGAATCAACCCAAATCCCAGATGTCCCTCAAGTTGTCTCTCATCCCCACTCTACTCATCTCTCTCTAAGCTTACTGTAGGAACTTCCTAACCGCCTCCAGGCTGTCCCCCTTCTAATGCATCCCCATGTTTTTGTTGTTCTCTTTGTAAAGCATAATTCTGATGAGATGTCCCTATTTGCAAACCATCTATGGCTCCCCTTTGCCAAAGTTCTCTGCAATCTTCCAAGACCCTTTACCATCTAGCCTGAACCCACCTTTTTTCATCTTTCAATGCCTCAAAAACTTTTAAGTTTCTGAATCTCTGATCATGCTATTTCTTCTACAAAAGACTAGCCTATCTTCTCCTGTGCTTCTCCTCACATACTTAGCTGCAAAAGTTTCTGCTTATCCTCTTTCCCACCCTCATCATCCTAAATTCTGAGTTCCTTCATCACTGGAGTCTTGTTACATTCATCCCTACATCCAGGTCCTTTAGATGTGTATGCCCTAAAGCAAGTGTCCAACTGACTTTGGAGTTTAGAAAGATAACTAGATTGATAATTGTAAATAATCTTGAGAAATGAAACACAACCAAAAACATCATCAATGTAGAGTAAGTACTCAGTAATCCATGGAAGTTAATAACAAAAAAAATTACAATGAACTATTCTAAAGTTTACAAACTTTCATAAATATTACATGAGATTTGGTAAGATGGGCACAGTGACAAAAAGAATTATGTGCCTTATTTAAAATAACTATAATTTCCAGGTGTGGTGGTGCATACCTGAAATCCCAGAGACCCAGGAGGCTGCAGCAGGAGAATCACAAGTTCAAAGCCAGCCTGAACAACTCAGCAAGACCCTACAAAACTTAGCAAGACCCTGTTTCAAAGTAAAAAGGATTGGAGATATGGCTCAGTGGTTACTCAAACCCAGGTTCAATCCATAGTACCAAAAAAATAAATAACTACAATAATTACAGTCAACACATACTGAGGACTTGTTGCAGGTCTTATGTATTAAAGAAGTTACAGGTACTGCAGTATTTACTGTGCTCTTGACAGCAGGACTATAAGATAGGTACTATTATCCCGGTTTTACTTGCAAGAAAACAAAATAACAATCGAACCAGCTGGTGAATGGAAAAGCAGGGATTCAAATCTAAGTGTGTGACTGTATAGCCTTAACTCTGAACTATTATTATTATTAGAAACCACATTTATTTTTCCTAACAGGTAAGACACAGAAAGTAAATGTCAACCTGTGTGGTAAAACAGAGCCTGAGCTCCAAAACACAGCAGAGAGCAAATAGACAAAGAATAAGAAAATAAAGAGATGTTTTATTATTGTGACTACATAATACCAACAACCTAAAAAGCTATTTGCTATTCTAGTATGTGGGACTGTGGGGCTGGCACAGAAGCAAATTATAGTAATGCCTGCCAAAATTCTCATTCTCTAAAGAGTAAACTTGAAAAATCCCTGAACAATATTCTTGACAATTAAAACTCTCAATTAGGAAACAATGAAAGAAACAAACTGAAGTTACTCTAATCAGGAAAGAAACACTGCTCAATACAAGGAAAGCAAAAGGAATACGCTAAGATGCCATGGTAGAGATATTAACTGTGACATAGGATCATCAGACCAAGACTCAGAAAGACTAAGGTTTAGGTATTTCTCCTTTACTTGAAACTCTTCTCCCAACCAAAAACTATTATTTATTCGACTCTTGGTATGATTCCAACACACCCTGCACAGGGTATTCTTCAGGTTAGCAGTGGAAGAATGTGGGTATTAAGGCCAGTGAAGCCTATCAGTGTAAACCAAAGCAGACAGTGCCAAAAGTCAAATGCAAACGTCACATACCTCAGCTGAAACTCTGGGTATGCCTAAGATACATGGCTTTGACAAGTTACTTAACCTGCCTTTTACTTTCACCTATAAAATGGAGATAACAGAACTTTCTTCTTAGGATAATAGTTAAATGGAACAATGATAAAAAGTAGTGTCTAACACATACTAAGCACTTAAGAAATGTCAGCCATTAATATGATTATTGTTACCTCTTAAGAGATTTCCCTATAACTCATTCTCATTAACCCTGGGGATTACTGCTTATTTTCTTTTTTTTAAATATTTTATTTTTAGTTGTAGATGGACACCATACCTTTATTTTATTTTTATGTGATGCTGAGGATCAAACCCAAGGCCTTGCAAGTGCTAGAAGAGCACTCTACGGCTGAGACACAACTCCAGCCCCAACTGCTTATTTTCTACAATGATTTTCTTCCTACTACCTCCCCCAATGTTCACAGTATATAATGCAAACCAAAAAAAGAAAATAAATAAAGTGATCCTGCCTTCATTTTCATGTCAATATTTCACTACAACTGAGCACAAACATGCAAAGTTGCTGCGCTGGGTTGAAGCAGATTGGGGCAAAAGGGTAATTTGAATAAAATAACCCTGCCTTCAAGAATTATATGATCTCTTTTGGAAACAAAAGCAAACACCCTTTAATTTTTCCTGAGCTGTAAAGGATAAACTGTAACCCATTTAGCAATATGTAATACCCCAAAAGCCATAGAAAAAAAAATGTGTTTGATGTTTCTGAACATTAATCACATAACAATTTTTTGAGAAATGATGACTCAAAAGAATTGTACTGGCAGTAAATATGATTTTCATACATGCTGGTCTTTAAAATCATCCTTTTGGGTTGCACACACACTATTAAAAGGTGGATAAAGTAAAGGAGCATAAGATGCTAAAATACAGATAACTGGGAAAGTATATGGAAGTTTTTCTTATTCATTCCAGTATATGAAGCAGTACTGGTAAGTACAATAATCCTGGTTTGGAAATAATGGCAAGACGTTTTCCCCAAAATGAAAATATTTTTATTACTATTATTATAAAAGTAATATATGCTTATGTTGTAATACATACACATACACAAGCATATATAATAAGAAAAACCACACTTATAACACCCTATCCAGAAGTAATCAAAACATTTCAATATTTCTCCTTCCAAACTTTTTAAAGCTTATACTCAGTTATAACTTTTCAAATATGGGATAACATCACACATGTTGCTTGGTACTTTTTCTCCTACTTTTTGACATATTACGCTCATCTTTCCATTTAACATGAAATCTCCAAATGAAAATCATAGGGCAATTTTCTGCAGGTTTGGGCCTTCACACCATGAAAAAGGGAATTAAAAAACCTGAAGTTGGGCTAGAAGACTCCTACAGTCTGTAAGAGCTATAGGAAGTTTCTCAGCAGATGGGGAAGGCAGAGGTTATGATCCAGTCTATCTGATTAGGGACAACTGGGTCTAGCAGAATCAATATGCAGGGAGGGGACTCAACCTGATTGAAAGTTGATTCAGCCTCATGGTTTTTCAGGGACAGAAGGGTAAGAGGCAATTTCCAGCAGAAGAGTTTGGAGAAGATCTCCTCAGCTCACTGAGATGATCCTGAAGGATGCACTATTATGCTACTGAATCCTAGAATCAGAAATGCTCTGGGTTGGTAATTAGGCTCTTTTGTTCATTATGTGATTTTCCCAGAGCACAGATTTATCATTTTGTCTAAATAGACATGCTAATCTGCCTAACTTCTTACATTGAAAAAATATAAAATTGGCTTTGCTCAGAGAAGACAAAGCATTGCTCAAAGGATAATTTTTATAATTTTTCAATGCTGCTTAAGGAACACAGTAGCAAAAAGGAATGATGATTATATTACCACGCAGATCAATGTGTGAGCTTAGACATCAGAGTTAATACTGTGATTAGTGGTTCCAGCTGCAGAAAGAAAGACAGCTGATAGGAGGAAACAGTAACCTTCTACTGTCCTGGGCAAGGCTAAGATAAAGCTAAGGAAACTTTCTTAAAGCTAAAGAAAGGACAAGCAAGGCTAAGATAAAGCTAAGGAAACTCTCTTAAAGCTAAAGAAAGGACAATCAAGGCTAAGATAAAGCTAAGGAAACTTCTGAGGGAACTTCCCCCTCACAAGTTCAGGTCAGGAGGTTAGCTCAATGGTAAAGCACTTGCCAATAGCAGGTGCAAAGTGTTGGGTTCAATCCCAGAACCTAATAAAAAATAAATTAAAAAAAGACCCTCACCCCACCCCTTGAGAATTCTAGAAGAGATTTTGAAAAGAATACCAAAGTGGGGCTGGGAAACAGAGAATAATGAAACCAGAGCATCTAGAGATAAACTATTTCAATTGAAGTTATATTCAGGTCTCTACTGCTGGTAAACTATATCTCATAAATGTTACATCTAAACTGCCCTAAAGCAAGAGATATGAAGAAGAGAGGTTATTCTTGAAATAGTTTTAGGTTAGACACTAACCACTGTTCAGCAAACACCTTCAAATTGAACTAAAGGTCAATATCCCACTGGGATCATTCATCTGTCAACATTTATTGAGTGGCTCTTCTGAGCTACATACTGGTTAAAGTAGAGGTACACAGAGAAGATTCAGCACTTGCTTTCAAATGTGTGGAGCAAATAGGTAAGAAAGTCAACATTTACAACTATGGGATAAATGCCTAACACACAGGAATACTTAATATATGCTGAGTGGCTGAACAGTATACTGTGATAGAAATGTGCCCCAAAGCAGAAGGCCTTCCAAAGGATATTTATCCTTTTGTTATAACACAGGTAAATGAACCTCAAAGTTCACTATTTTGAAACTACTCATAAAAGAATAAACAACCAGTACACACAAAAATTGACAGGAGCTACTGATGTTTATGCTACAAAAAAGGGAGAGACAGTGACAGGAAAAATATTATCACTCATTTATACAAAAGAGCACTTTAATTCTTGTCCTTAGAAACTATAAAGACTATACATGATTCAGAAAGGGAACTGTACCAAACAATGGTCAAAGAAGAATCATCCATTTTATGCCTTTTCTCTTGTCTGGTCACTCAGAAATATAATGTTATCTGTAAAGAAGCCAAAAGACAAATATTAATTTCAGAACTCTTTTCCATTTCACTTAATAATTCCTCTAACATATACATACTTTAGTGCTATAATAAGTTTTCCAAATGGTAAATAACTTTTGCTGCATTCATGAAAGGTTAACTAATTAGGCATAAATAGAGCTAAAAATTGGGCTTCCCAGGCCGTTTGTTCAACAATTCGCCTTGTTAGAAAAGCTGAGGTATCTGTTTTTCTTGAAGACATAAGATAAAATCATCCCAACAAAAACTTCCTGTAAAAAAACTGGTCACAAGTTTGAATGTCTGCTGTGTTCAACAGAGGCCATGACACCAGACAGCACATCCTCACAAAGAAAAGGACCAATGCACATCATTTCATATGCTAGGTATGAAGAAAGGAAAAGGTTCCCATGTGGCCTTGTTAGTGTTGCAGATGTTTTTAAGTAAGTTCAAAAACTCACAGAAAAATTTTGTTCTTAAAAAATTTTAAGACAGAATGATTTTATATATCCATTTTGGGTGAAAGCTTTATAATAATTACTGTAGAAATAAGCATTTTTATCTGAAAACATCAGACATTACTCTGCAATGCTATTCCAGAGGGAGTTAGCTAAGGGCAAACAAGGGAAAATAGATAAGCATTATCTCCTGCATAACTCCAAAAATTTCAGATTCCTATAACTATAAAATTATCCACAAAGTAGACATTACACAATGACCTGTATTTACAATATCTGTTCATGACTTCATAACTGCAGTCTTTCCAAAATAGAATACTTAGGTATAGAATGGTAAGTCAAGAAAGAGATTATAAGAACTGAAATCACTATACAAAGCCAACAGTGCCATCCACTGGTGGCTACTTTTAAGTTCCGGTATGATTCCTAAGAAAAAAAAATATGGCCTATAAAAGAGGTCAACCAAATTAAACTGTTTTCTTAAATTCAAACAGAAATGAAGTTCTATTCATATTTACTATCAGTCATCAACATATAGTTAACTGATCATGCTAATGACAACTGATGACAAGAAAAAAATCAAAAGATAATCTGAAATGCTTCTATTTTGCTTGGTTCATAACACCCAAGAGTTTGAACAATCTAAAGTTTACTCACAAATTTAGTTTATCATAAAAAATAAAAGAGGATAGGAAAATACCTATGCTGGTTTTCAAAATCATTTTACTTTCCAAGAAACTTACTAGTAAGTACATATAATTATTATTTATAACAAATTATAATATCAACATGTTGTTAAGACATGAACTCTGGAGCAAAGAGAAAGAGGAAGACAAAAGGAAATCTGTCATTAAACAAAGAATTAAGACATATAGGCAAGCTCTCTACCACTGAGCCACAACCCCAGCCCATAGTCAAGCATTTAAAGAAGAAAAAAACAGTTATTATCACAAGGTTCTTACCAGCTATGATTGTTGTTGCTTGTCGCCTCACATTATTTTTATCCATGTATTCACCATAGTCTATTTTTCCTTCCACATAAATCCGAGACCTGTTATAAATAATTCACAGTTTTTATTCTGGAAACTCTAACACGCTTTACAAAGAGTCAGGTCAGGAGTGGTAATGAATACACACTAAGAATTAAATCTATAATTATACATAATTCCGTTTTTTCTATCACTTCTTAAAATTCAAAATTAAGAGTACAGAAACATAAAGTATAGACAGACTTGATATGTAAAAAACAATGTTTTCATCCTTCAGCTATTTTCTTTATAGGAGTTTTTGAAAAAAAAAATTTTAATCTTAAGCCAAAATTAAAAGAAATAAAGGGGTAGCCTTAAGATTATAAAGACATAAGACCAATTTAAGGGTATCTATGAATCTCTAGGACTGATTTCCAAAATGTGATTTTACTTAACCTCTGGTTTTAGACTTCCTAACAGAAATGCTGATTTTAACTTATTTATCAATTATCTTCTATAGTGAAATTGATGACTTTACTTCTAAGGGGCTTAGATTATTAAAACTCAAAATTGAGGTTTTCAGTTTAGCATATCACTCAGAGTCAATTACTAAGACAATTTCTACACTATAATATAGAAGACTGAGCTAGATGACAATCATAACTGTGATTTTAAAGGGCAGAAAATTACTATGACAGCACCAGTTCTCAAAGTCCACCATCACCAGAAAAGTGAAGCAAAATATAGAAAGAAGACAAAACAAGTGAAATGACTGGATATCAAAGAAAATACACATGCACGCAGATTCATGAATCAGTAGGTAAAATTGTAAGTTGACATTTTCCTTGAAATACCCTCTTACGTGTTTGTGTACACATGCATACACAAGGATGACAATGGAGATACATATGAAGAAAAGGTATGCTTTATTGACAAAATTTCTAATCATTGCTGAAATTATTTCTATTAAATGTTTTATTTCTACAAAACAAGTACATTTCTAAACAACATAACTATTAATGTAACTGCTGTTAAACACATCCATTTGTCCTGAGAATTTGGAAAAGACATTTTTATGATAATTAATCTAAGCATTACAAAGGGAACTACTAAATCTATAGAAAATTACCAAATATAAAATAAATATTGAGAATAACAACTCAGTGTCAGGCTTCAGACATTCCAGATCCTCTACTAGGAATGTCATGTGAATGCGAAGAGAAAAAGACTACCTACCTCCAGGATCCCTGATCAGAGAGGCACAGGACCTGCTGCAATTGTTCAAAAAGCACATGTTGCGGTGGCAGTTAAGGCACTGGTCTTATTTCCTGCCCCAATCTACTGCTATTTAGGGCATACATAAGGTATGTATGCCCTAAAATATAAGTTCTTAGAAGACTAAGATTTTACATGCCTTTGAATGAGTCACACACATAGCTACATTCCACGCATATAGTATTAAGAAAGTACAGTACTTCTTAATATAAGAGCTCAAGAACAAAGGAGTTGTTACATGTTCCTTGCCATGACAACACTTGTTATTATTGGTTCTTTAAATCATTTAATCCAAAAGACCTTCCTTTTGTAACTTACCCCTTTTTCACATACTGATATGCTACATCTCTAAGGCCTGGCCGAAATACTGATATTCTATGCCATGTTGTCTTTTGACTGATGTCACCTAAATCACAAGAAAAGGAAATATTTACAATGCTAGCAGACAAAACAAATACCAGTGGACAACATGCCAGGAAAATCAAACTCACAACTTTTTAAAAGAACAACAGAATGAGAAAAGATAAACCTTATCTGAAAGTAGCTTATCTCTATTTAAGATAACTGGCAATAAATAATTTCTATTTATTGATGATAAAATTAAAACCCCAGGCTTTTATACTTACCCATTTGGTATTCTTCGCTCTCCCCTGATCGCCACATCTCATTTGTTGCTAGAGAAAATATTGTTACTGGATTTTTCCCTTCTGCCTGTCTCAGGACCGGGTCCTGACCTACTCGCCCAAGTAACTGCACACGATTCAGAGCTGAAAAAGGAAATAAGACTGAAAAAACTGCTGTACCACCTCAAAATCTGTACCTTGAAGTGCTAAGTCCCAATGTGATATATTTGGAGGGGGACCATGGGTCCATGATTTGGTTTAGATAAGGTGATGAGGGGAGCCTCCATGATGTGATTTATGCCTTTATAAAAGGAAAAGACCAGAGTTGCTCACTCTACCATGTGAAAACAGTAAGGAAGCTAACACATGTGCAAGCCAGGAATAAGGCCCTCATCAAGAGGCAGGTAAGGCCCCAACCATACTGGCACCCTGATCTTGGACTTCTAGTCTCCAGAACTGTGAAAAATAAATGCCTATTGTTTAATCCACCCACTCTGTGATAATTCATTATGTCAGCTGAAGTTGACATTTAAAGAAATCTAAACACCTTAGATTGAGAGAATTATCTAGAAAAGGAACAGTTAAAAATATCATTTCAACTTTAATCTCTGAATTAAGTAAAACCCAAATACTAGCAATAAATAAAGCCAATAAAGGAAGATTGGCAGCAGGGGAAAGAGATTACAAGAAAGAAGAAAACAGAAAGAAGCCCCACAAAAAAAAAATTTCAAATTCTTTATCTTATGTATAGCATCTTTTTTAAAAGAACTGTCTGTAGAACTAAAACAAATCTGAGATTTAAAATCCTTTATTAAAAAAAGAAATATTTCTGTGAAATAGTATCTTTCACAATTTAAAATAACCTTAGAAGACACAGACAACCAAATATGAGAAATTGTCCAGCAGGACAGTGACAAGAGTGAGTAGTATCTGGCTGATAAAAAGGGTCCTGCTGGGTGCGATGGTGTATGCATGTAATCCCAGCAGCTTGGCAGGTTGAGACAGGAAGATTGAGGGTTCAAAGCCAGCCTCAACAAAAGTGAGGAGCTAAGCAACTTGTAAGACCTTGTCTCTAAATAAAATACAAAGTAGGACTGGGAATGTGGATCAGTGGTCAAGTGGCCCTGAGTTCAATCCCCAGTTTAAAAAAACAAAAATAAAGGCCCAATTTATTTAAAAGAAAAAAAAAAGAAAGAAAGAAAAGAAGGGGGCACACAGCCTGATGGGGCAAGCAACCTAAGAAGCAAATATGGCCAAAGCCATAATGGTTAACACAGTTTAACCCAGCACATTTCTTCTACAGCACTTTGAGAATACTAGAACAGTACCATAAGTAACACTGCAAACTTAGAAAATGACTACTTACATCTTTCAAGAACAAAACTGCTTGCTACTTCAGACTCATGTCTTACAAACTGATGAAGTACCTGATAAACAAACAAGCAACATGGCTTTACTTTTTTAGAAAAGGCAAATGCAAAGAGAAGACCTGCTCACATTTGTTCATTACTTAGGCAATAGTTTCGAAGAGTTCCAGAAGAGAAAAGCTTTTCCATGTTCTTTCAACATACAAAGCCAAAAAGACCAAGCAAACACTTCTGGAGCAGCATACCACAGAAGCCACAGGTATGAAGAAGGTAGTGGAGAACATATCCAAGAGTTAATTTATAGTCCTCTGTTTCTTTTGTGGTAATCTTTGTGATTATGGCACTTCTGTGTTTGCACATAAAACATAATTGTATGTCTTCCACAAAGGAAAGCATCACAGTAACTGTAAATCTAATCTGTACCCAAGAGTTGCTTCCAGTTAAAAAAAATCCAGCTTTCATTAGCTGGAGACATAGAAAAAAGCAAAAATTACTTTTTACACTCAAAAAATAGATTGACTTTTTAAAAATAAAAAAATAAATATATGGTATATTATTTATATTTTGAGTACACAATTTAGAAATTAAGAAACTTAGATTTATCTAATATGGGTATACAGACTCACTACATCATTAGACCAAAGAAGAGGAGAAAAAGAAATAGTACTTTATAATTAATGTATTTATAAATACTCATTAATAACATAAAAAGTAATTATCAAACTACTGCTAGGGTATATATAATAAAAACAATGTCATTACTTAAGTCTCACTCTTAGCCACAAGAACAGAGAATGAAAAATAGGTTAAACTCCAAAAATAAATAAATAAATAAAACAATACATTCCAAAGCCAGGCACAGTGGCACATACCTATAATACTCAGCAGCCTGGTAGGATGAGGCAAGAGGATTGCAAGTTCAAAGCTAGCCTCAGCAACTTAGCAAAAGCCCTAAGCAACTCAGTGAAACCCTGTCTCTAAATAAAATACAAAAAAAGGGATTGAAATATGGCTCAGTGGTTGAGTGCCCCTGAGTTCAATCCCCAGAACCAAAAAAAAAAAAAAAAAAAAAAAATCCGTATATTCATCACATGAATATTTTTTGGATATACAAAAGGATAGGTTCCAAAGTCAGGCTCCCTATAGGAGATAACTCAAATATGATTAGCCTAATGTGTCTCACTTAAAAATTAGCAAAAATGATGATGAACATCTGCTTCACAAGACTATTGGGGAAAAAACCACACAGCTTCTATAGTGGACTTGGCCAGTTGTAAAGCTGTATAAATATCTGATGGAAAACTTCATGTTTTCAGTGTTATCAAGGAAAATAACATAAGATAAGCAAACATGGTTAAGTACAAAGATATAGCTATCCAAGTCACAGAGTCATCAGAAAAGGGTAGCCACTGCCACATATTAATCACAGATATTATTACTGAATACCAACAAAGAGCTTTACCTTATCAAGTAACTCTAAAATTAAATATATAAATTTTGTAAAATTATCCCCACTTCAGACCCAAGTAAACTGAAGCTCAGAGAGTGAGGAACTTGCCCCAGATGTTGTACGAAATAAGTGGTAAGTAATGACTAGAATCCAGGGTTGTCTAATAACAAGGTTGCTGATTTTTCCCACTGTCCTCTGCTGCCTCAAAGATACTTTGTTCAAGGTATAGTCCTACCTTTACTCCTACCTTCATAAGGTAGGAATATACATCACTGGATGCAGAATTCAGAGTGCTAGACATTCTATCAGAGAAACATTTTTCAAGCAGCAGTATTGTTAATATAAAAAGCAGAAGAACACCACCAAATGAATACCCACTCCTGGGTGCTGTGAGTTATATAAGCCTATCATAAATTTCAGGATAGAAGGTGGATAAGAAAACAAACACAGTAAGTTACAACATACTAGAGACTCAAACTGCTAACTGGTAACTGAGTCATAAGCATAGCAATATACTAATTTAAGTGGTCAGAGAAGCCAAAACTCATAAATCTTAAAAAATAACAATGTCTTACATTAGGCACACATGAAAATTAAGAACAACTAAAAAAGTAGAAATATGGAAATTATTTAACTTATATGACTTTTAAAATTAAATTTTAACTTCTGAATATTTGATCTTAAAGATATCTTAGTACTATAGTATTATCAAGATAGCAAGATAGTAGTAACTTCTTTTGGTTTTATATTAGGAATTGAAACAAGGGGCACTTTACACCCCCAGCACTTTTTTTTTTTTTTTAAAGACAGGGTCCTAATAAATTGCTATGGTTGGCCTTGAACCTGGAATCCTCTTGCCTCAGCCTTCCAAGTAACTGGGATTGTAGGACTCAAGTCACTGTACCCAACTAGCAATAACTTTTCCATGTTTCACATAATCTTAAAAGGTTAGAAGTACCTATAAGTTAAAGTGGGGATCTAAGACTATAAAATCAAATTGACAATTGGTCAAAGATGTCAATAGATTTCACAGAGGAACTGATTCTTCACTAGACTTAATGGGAGGATGAGGAGTCATAGAGGTATTATTAAGGAGAATCCACAGGACTTGGTGCCCAAATGTGGTAAGGAAAAGTGGTAATCTAGATAATATGAATCAAAGATGACTGGGATGAGGGGATGGATAAGGAGCCAAACTGCTCAGAATGAAACTGAAGGTAGGCAACGTGAATCTATGGTGACGCTCAGAGCTGAGCTGTCCTCACTGTAGAAGATGAGGGAAGCATTTAGTAAAAGGAGATAGATGGTGAGAAAAGAAACTATATGTCTCATAGAAAAAAATGCTGAAACAATGATTGTTATAGTCTTGTATCACTAAAACCTTAAATACTCTCTGATCTATATTCAAGTTACACATTTTAAAAATTAATGATTCTTATTACGTAGGTGAATAAATTTGAAAATTTTTGTTTTAGTAAACATTATTTACACGACAAAATTCATTTCTGAACTTCCCTGTCCAGTGAGTACACACACAGGTGATGGGTAGACTTAAAGATCTTTTGCCCCTGCAGTCAAAAGCCTACAGAAATCAGATCATTATGGCTGATCAAAGTACAGTTTAGCACTAATACAGAAAAGTGACTACCTGTAATACAGGTCTTCGAAACATGGCTTCTATTTTCTTTTCTTACAATCTAAACTTAGCTTTTCCTGAAGAAGAAAAAAAAAAGATAAATTAAATACTGCATCTTATAGCAAGAGAAACATATTGACTAGTCCTAAATTCCTAACTGCACTCATAATTTTCATGCACTTCTAACTTGCGCCCACATCAACATCCCTGCCCATTTGAGGATCCCCTTCCCCCTCCAGAAACCTCTTTTCGAGCCCACTCAATTTCCTCTTCCTCCAACCCGTATTTTTAAACTCTGGTTCTAAATTATTCCCACTTCCAATCCAGTCTTCTCAAACTGTATCGAAACACAAGCTCCCTAAGCAAAGATTGCCTGATTAACTCACTCCCATATTCTAGACTCCTAAGAGTGCTTAACACACAGCAAGAGCTCGATAAAGGACTACAATCTGAAACCCGCTGCTGCTGCAAAAACCACTACTTCCATTCCGGCTGGCAAACGCCAAAGTGCCCCGGAGACCCGCGAGCGCCGGGGAGGGACGCACGCCCTTTCCCAAACGTGACACTCCCACCTAACAACTTGGGAGAAACCGCAGAGTCCACGCCTCGAGAAACTCGCAGAAACTCCAGAAACTCGCAGGCACTCGAGAACACTAACACACGGCTCGCGCCCTTCCTCACACCCTCCCTCGCCTGACTCGCTAGACCGGGCAATCCCCACGCGAGGGTCACTTCCGGTGCACGGAAGACGTGACGGTTGCGATAGGAAGGAGAAAACAGGAAGTCAGAGGCGTGCTCCGTAAAAATGCTGCCGGTCAAAACTGCGAAAAACACGTCCTTTCACTTAGGAGTTCCGGGAAGTTTCATTCCAGGCGGAAAAGGATGCATCGGCGCCGCCAAGCGGTGAGTTGCGGCGATTTTAAATTTCCAAAGGAATGAGGTTCCCAGTGCCGCCCAACAAGGGAAGAAGTAGTGTAATTGAGACTAGAAACAAAACAAATGCCCCAAGCCTCCTGAAGCCGAAAGCAGAAAAATGAAGGAATGTAGAGAAAGTGCTGAGGCCTCAAAATTCAAGAGGGCGCCAAAAAGAAGAGGGCTGGGGTTGTGGGTCAGAGGTAGAGCGCTTGCCCAGCATGCGTGAGGCAGTGGGCTCCATCCTCAGCACCACAGAAAAATAAAATAAAGGTATTGTGTCCACCTACAACTAAAAAATAAATTTTAAAAAAAAGAATTTCAGCTGTGGGCATCCAGTGATAGAGAACAAGGTTTGCAATGCTTTATCATAAATAGGAAGCTTTGGAAAGTTTTGATACTGTAAAAAAAAAAAAAAACATTTTTTGAAAATTTGAATCAAGTTTTCACTTTGCTTTTAAAGTCAGTTTTTCTAAAGTCTCATAACTGTTGGAAAATTATTATAGCACTTCTGCCTAAACTGACAACTAACATGTATTTTTAAGGTGGTTCAAAAGCAACTTTAGCATCACTTTAGAGTTATTGTGGTTACTTTTTAATTAAAAAAAAAACTGACAATTTTTTTAATGTAATTTAAGGTTGAAATTGTACAGATTTAATTATCCAGGCTGGGAGGTTAACATTAGTCTTTTAGTTATAATCCTTCTACAACCTTAGATAAATGACCTGTTAGAGCTAGACCAGTAGAGCACAGAGGTATTTCTCTAAATCTCAAGATTGTCTGTTAGCATCTTCAGGTATCAGGGTTTGTGGAGGATACATTTCCAGAGTTTTAAAATTTAACTTATTTAATGTCACCAGCCCAAGAATGTTAACAAAATAATTATAATAATTTGAGTTATGTCATGACATCGATGCAAAGTCAGAATTTACCCAAGCAAGGGGTAAATGTCCAACTGAAGTGGAAAAGATGGAATCTCAAACCCAATTAAGACCTAGTTCCTCTCATACTCAATAGTATCCATGCAGCTATGGGCTATTGTGATAACTGCTGCCATGGAAACTCAGAGCCAGAGGGAGCCCAACCAATCTGGCATCAGGTTCATTCAGGTGTGAAGTTAGACTCTGAGGAACACAGTGGAAAGGTCAGAGACCCTTCCAGTGGTAGCTGTAACACCTGAGACTAGTTTTACCAAAGAATTCTGGACTATACATTGCACACTTAATAACGTACCTGTTTTTAAAACCATAAATGTGACTGACCTGGCACTGTATTGCAAGGAACATAGGAAGGGAGTCGCGTTGAGGAAATGGCAAGCAATAAACCAACCCCATTTTATTTACTAGTCTTTATCCAATGACAATAGACCACAAGGAAAGAGTTGCTATTCCAAGACAGAAGAATTGTATGAGGGCTTATTAGAGGGATGCCTAATTTTCTTCTTTTTCCTTCTAAAAATGAAGGGAAACGAAGAAAATTAGGCAACAGAAAAATCAATGTATTATTAACAGATTACCATCATTAACATGACATAAAGAAGTGATCAAATACTTTTATGGTCAAAATTATTTTATAGCTGAGCCTGACCATTATTCTTGGCTTTTGGACCTATGAAGCCTTACTGACAAGATGTGTTAGAATCAACTGAATTCTCTCACCCACTCTACCATCCATTTTTCTAACATAAATTTCTCATTATTTGTTAATTACATATTATAAAGAAGAATGCTTTACCCGTATTTGGCTCTGAAAAAAATAAAAATCTTTATTTATAAATTCCTATGAAAATGTACACGGAGAAGAGGATTTGGATAAAATATGCTAAAATCACAGAAGCAAAGCCAAATTCTGCTAAAATCAAGAGAAATTGTTGATATCCAGAAAAATCCAAACCAACCAGAACAGCCACAAGATGATTAAGACAAATAGACTGAGAGAGAGCATTAACATCAAATTTCCTTGAACCCTCTACCTCCAGTGTTTTTGTGTTTTTGTTTTCACAAGTTAACCAGCTCAGGAATGTCCTAGTTGTACATATTCTTATTGCTACCTACCTCACATAATTTAGGGCCATTAATTTTATAAATACAGTATCAGAGAAGAGAATACCTCCATCCAGAAAATACTACTTGCTCAAAATGTGGGCATTCATTTTTAGGAATAGTATCATGCACCTTGGGAAGCACTGTTGGATTCCAAGCGCATTTCTTGTAAGCTATTACTTCAACTCAAAGACAAATATTGTTGCTTTCTATGTTCAGAGAGTCCCTGGGGTCCTTGGACATTTCTCAGTCCACAGGCCAAGCCAAAGGCTATTCCCTTCTTTCACTTCTGAGGCCATTTTCTTGTTGTTCATCAGAAAATTTAAGCATAAGTTATTGACAGGAGGAATATAACAATAGGGAAGAAAAGTGGCTACCAATTAGTATACCTGGGACCACTGCTGATAAGAACCTTAGTAGCTTTATGACCTTGACTGTAAATAGTAAATGAGGTGACTTTTGAAGTCTTGGGCATTCAAATTGGTGAATTTTTCCTTCTTGCAACAGGGAAATTTGGATGTTCAGTGTCTGTTTCTGGAGGCTGTATGGTAAAAGACTGGTGGTATGAAACGAGTTCTTATGGAGAAGATTCCCCACAGGTAAAGCTTGAAGACTTTGTAGTCTTTCTTCCCACCAGGTGTTTTTTTCTTCTTGATCCTGTGTGAGCCCCAGAGATCTCAGGGTCACTATGGTGGGCGTCTTCCATAGAGGATAAGGCCTGCTGGGTTTCTCTCAGTTTCCTGAAATGAAAGCAGGAAAACACAGGTTATTTATTCCCTAATTATAGATATTATTTACGACCACAACTAACACATCAGTTTCTTTTTATTTCAGGTTTACAGAAAGAAGCCTACACTATGAAGAATAGAAAGCTCAGTTCCTGTGATTATGATTGTCATTTAATGAGTTGAAATACATGTCATGGCACGTGGTAGATTCAATTTCCCAGATCTTTGGGGCATAAGCATATAGCTTTTCAGTCAATACATGAAAGTTACAGGGGTCAATAAAAGACAGCTCCTGGTCAAATCTGGCTTGCCACCTATTTTTGTAAATAAAGTTATATTAGAACACAGCCACTCATTTGTTTACACACACACAAACACAATCAATCAATGGCCGTTTTCATATTACAAATAAGTTGAGTCATTATAGAAGAGATTATATGTCCCACAAAGCAAAAAATATTTACTTCCTACCCCTTTACCAAACAAGTTTGCCAGACTCTAGTCTAGACAATTTCAAGATGCCATCTGCCTCATCTCTGTGACGGGTGCCCACCATCGGTACTGGCTGATGACAGTCACTGGAAGCTTCACAGAATATACCTACTACACTGTAAGAGGCACTTACCTTGTTGTGACCAAAATATGTGGATAAATACTTTCTTTTTATTCCATGGACAATGGAACTCAAAACTAGAGCAAGATAATTATTAAGTGGCTTATTTGGAATAATTAACTGACTAAAGACCTAGGGTCTTTAGTCTGCAACTTATTACTAAAAAAATCATATCAGAGACTTTTTAAGCTTTCAAACTAATCTTTCTTTTCAAGATGGACTTTGTAGCTAAGAGTAGTTGGACTTGTAAGCTTACTTCAGACAAGGTCCCTTTTCCATTTCCTTTTGTATTTTCAACAGCGCACAACATAATAATCACTTAAAAATTCCTTCAGAACACTGCTCAGACACACTGCCGGACCTTTCCCCAACCTTACCCCATCTGATTAATTCCCATCTATTTAATGAAGGAATGGGGTAATAAAAGAATACAAGCTTATGCAAATAAGCAATTGAATTGCCTTCTTTGTTCAGAAAACTCCTCTTCTAAATATGTACCATGATAGTATATCTGCCTGCCTAACACTGAAGCTTAGTGAGTTTCTCTAATAGGTCTCTACTCACTAACCAAGGTGAGATGATCCCCACCAGTTACTTAAGACACCTGCTGTCCCTCAGAATCCCAAGCTTTCTTTACCAGTGGTACTTCCTTATATTCCTCCCTCTTGCTTCCTTTGCATTATCTGGAATTTTCTCTCAAGCCACCTAGACACAGAACTAGTCCCATGCTGTAAAAGGCCTCTGTGCTGACAGTCTGCTTGTGGACAGGGGCCTATGTATTATAATGAACAATATATGTAAATGTAAATCCACAGAAGCAGCACACCAGCCTGCTCATACTGATGTGAATGATTTGCAATCGATTCATTCTTGACTCCAACATCCCCAAATCTACCTTTCTAGTATGGCCATCTTGGACTTTTCCAACTTCAGCTGCTTCTGGAGCTCCTGTGTTTTGCCCAGGGAAGGCCAGAGAACTCCATTTCTGGCCAGAGCTGCTGCAGAAGGTCTCTCAGCTGGATCAGGGTGGATCATTTTCTGATGACGTAGGGCCAAAAGGAAGGAACAGAAGCTTCACTACTGGGAAAATCTCCCCACTCGAGCCAGTTCCAACCCCGCCTATGTTGGTGGATTTTGTGAAACACTGATTTTCTTTTGTGCAGAGGGAAGGAGACATAAATGAAAACTTAGCTCCACCTTGGATAAAAGAATCGTCCATGTCTGATAACATCAGTTGTCCACACCTTTGACCTGTCTTTAATTATCATGGTTTAAAGAAGGCAGGCTGATTAACTAGTCTAATGCCATATTTTAAAATGGAAAAGGCTGAGGTGCTACGTAAAAAGTAACTGGTCCAAGTCCAAGTGACTAGTTCAACAGGAAGAACCATGATCAAAGCCAGTTTACCCAACTTTTGGTTCTGCTCCTTTATCACTTAATAATGAACCACTTCAACAATATTCCTAAAACACTATCTCCAGGTAGATATGGCTGTAACCTAAGAGGATTTGAATATGGTAGGAAATAATTGATAGATAGATAGATATCAGTAGTGTCATATAATGAAGAAAACACTTAGGGACGAATTTCTGAGCCAACTCTGCCATTTACTTTGAAAACTTTACTGAAGCTCAGTAAAATTTGGAATTTGGAATAACAGTATTCTCCTTCTAGGACTATAGTGAGAATTAAGTTAATTAACAAAATTAACATTCACCTACAGCTTTGGTTTTGGTTTTTTGTTTTTGATGCTGGGGATTGAACCCAGGGCACTCTACCACTGAGCTAACATCCATATTCCTTTTTGTTTTTTGTTTTGCGACAGGGTCTTGCTAAATTGCCGAGATTAGCCTCAAACTTGGAATCTTCCTGCCTCAGCCTCCTGAGTTGCTGGGATTACAGGTGTATATCACTGTGCCCAGATTTGTACAGTATTGCTTAGCATAGGGCCAACGTTTAGGTACTCAGTGAATATCAACTAAATCTAAGAGCAACTTACATATTGTAACAGATTAGAAAGTGAACAAGAGACCCTTGTAAGGAAAGATTTGCCTCCTTTCAAAAAAGCAAAAGAAGTCGGAAGAACACGTTTATAACTATATTTGAAGACTGGAGGTAAAGTGTGAAACTCAAATATAATGTCAAAGAGTGTGGATATTTCTAAGCCTATTTTAGGGATCCTAACCAATCCTGTTTCCTAAGCCATGAAGTTAGTCATATGCATTTTATTTTCTTGATAGGATTCTAAGCTTCTTGACAGTGTTTTTGTATCTCCATTTCAACATGATATCCTCCTTTCTCTCTCCCTACACATACTCTGATATTATTTGGTACAAGGAACACGCAGATTTTTGAATTGACATTATGCCTTTTCTCCAATAGCTCCAATTGCTGGTATTGTGTCAATTATCAACAGTCACTTATACTATACTTTTTTATATACACTTGAAACTCTTTCTTTCGGTAATGTCATCACTGTTATCATTGCTAATAGTTAAAGCCCAGAAGTGGGAGGGGGAAAGGTCAAGTTTTAATTTTTAAGTTAACTACTTACTGACTGTAAATATAAAATTCAAATATACTTAGATCCTTGGGTTTCCTCCAGTGTAGAAAGAGGTGCCACCTGCCCATTTTAAAGTTATTATGAAAAGCAAATGGAAAAAAAATGTTCATAACAGGATTTTAAAACTATAACATGAAGGATTTCATGACGTCTTCCAAGTTTTCTTGAGAAGCTTTCAATCTGTCCTGTGTCTTTTTCTGGCCTTCCCAGTCAGTTGCTTTTTCCTTCTATTAATGGCACTACCAACAGATCCATTTCCCAACCCCCCACACCACCATTTGCCATCATTTTTTTTTAAAAAAAAAATAGACACTTTGTCTTCTCTTTATCTCATGGGAGATGTCACCTTGAGCAAATTGTGAAAGTCTTCTGAGAGCTCCTGAGGAACATCTGGAAAGTTGCCCTCGCGGATAGAATGCCACGCGCTGCCATTGGAGGGCAATTCCCCTGCTCCTGCAGCCACTGCAATTGTTAATCCCAAAGCGAATATGTCTGCTTTGGGAAGGTGTCGATAATCCTGCAGAACCGAAGACAAGAAGACCAGTTAGTTTGCCCAATGGAGTGAGTCTAGACTAAAATGCAACTGGGAGGAGAGGTTCATTTGAGTACGTAAGCACTATAAACACTATGAGCCAAGCTACTTTTACTATAGTTAGTGGTTTATTTCTAAGAAGATAGAGGGAACACAAATATACCTTTTAATACAGCTATTCCCTGAAGTGCCCAAGGAATAATCTCAGGGCCATTTGGCCCTGCCAGACTCAAGATGGCTTAGCACATAAACTAGCCAATCTCAGGAATGAAAGACTCATTTTTTCTTAATTATCACTCAGAAGGAAGTTTTATCCTTCCTAGGTCAGACTCAACAGACATCTTAGAAGATGGGCAATGGCTAAAGGATCACAACATGATAAAAATGGTCTGTACCAACAAGAGCTTAAAGAGGAGGGTTCCTTCCAAAAAGGCAGATCAGTAATTCTGCAGAAAGAACTGTGTGAGTATCGATTCACCTTTGATTGAGCCAGTTTCCCCATGTTTGGGGGTAAGTTTCTCCCCTCTTTGGCTTCTATTCTCAATGGAAAGGAGATACAATATGTTTAAATTTTAGATATACTCTCTTCATTTTTTGCACTGAGCCTTGAATGTCAAGAAGGTCAATGAGTATTAAATACCCTCCATGCCTATAGCTCCAGCTACTCAAGAGGCTGAGACAGGAAAGTTGTGTGAGGCCAGCCTGTGTACTATTAAGCCCCTGTCTCAAAAAATAACAAAATACTCTCTATCCCTTTAATCTATACCTCTTGCAAAATCTCATTAGCCAGGAATCGAATATCTCCTTCTTCTACTTTAGGTTTGCTTACTGATGTCACATGACCCAGGTCACCTAAAAAATATAAAATAAATAAGAAACAGAGCTCTTTAAAAGAATAAGGGGAGTCATCAGTATAAGTTTTATAGGATAATAATATACTGGTAGGGCTACAAAGCAGACTCACCAATTTTGTATATCTCACTTGCAGAGAGAAACCAATCAGCTTCATTTTCAACCTCTTTTGGGAGTCCAGGAGAGTCACCTTGCATTTTATGGCAAATAAAGATGTTACCTGAAAAATACAGTCTAGACATTAAGTAATGATTCCCAAGTTCTGCATTCCAAAGATTCTTTTCTCAATTTAACATTTTAGCTGCCCTATTTTCTCCTCCTGTATGATTGTAGCACGACCACCAACCTTTCTTTTTTTTCTATGAGATCTTTCAAATCACATTGGGATAGCCAGTGATTGATAATGCCTATTCAAGTTAAACCATCATCATATATTTCACATTCTCTGAAGAGACTGATGGCAGGATACCATCGTCTCACCATACACAACGTAGTAACTTATCCTTAAGTTTCACATTAATGAGTGAAAAAACAATTCATTTCTGCTCATTTTGATCAGTGCTGTGTTAGAAAAAGTGCAGCAGTAGTTATAAACATGATCAGAATGTAGCCAATAAACGGCCACTTTTGTAGTAAATTAAATATCTATTTTATAGTGGAAGTTATTGTCCCGCTTTGTGTTCTCTAAGTCCAAGAGGGAAATGGTTAAACTATTTAACTGAACTTTTTTAGGGGAAACAAATGGAAGGCATTCTCCCAGCCAATACTTTTTGACACTTGATAGTCAAGGGCCTTTGATACAGACACAATTTTTTTTCAGACACAAATTGTGATGATGATATGAAAAGAACAAAATATGGCATGAAGAATAGAAAGAGCCATACTGACTAGGTTTGATGTCCAGGTGTACCATGCCAGAGTTGTGGATATACTTAAGCCCCAAGGAAATCTGCAGAAGAATGTCTTTGAGCTTTGGTTCTTGGAAATGTTTACCAGACTTAGTGTTTTCAGATATAGCAGCTTGCAAGCTCCCGCCTAGGAAAGAAACAACAGAGAATAACTCCACAGGAAGAGAAAATAGGTATGAGTCTTAAAGGTGAAAGAATAATAAATATTCAATAAATTCCTCGTGATTGTTTGCAGTCCAATGGGTCTGTATTACTTTAGTGTCAGTGCAAAGCATAATATTATCTGCTCTATGTTTATATTATAGAGATGTTGGAAAGAAGAAATAGAGCTTTTCAAAAGGAAAAGAAGTCAGGTGCTGTGACACTTGCCTGTAATCCCAGCTACTTGGGAGGCTGAGGCAAGTTCAAAGCCAGCCTTAGAACTTAGTGAGACCCTGTCTGAAAATAAAAAATAAAAGGGGCTGTGGATGTAGCTCAGTGGTCGTGACCCTGGGTTCAATTCTCAGTAGGAAAAAAGAAAAATTTACCTATTAACCAGAATGCCAATCAGGCATAGTCATATAGCTGCCATCAGTATTGATGATTAATTCCATGTCAATGTCAGGCTAATAATTTTAATGTAATGGATTCTAATTCGACTAAAAATATATCATAAAATGAGAATACTTAATGATAGCCGACCCATAGAAAAATTTAAAACTTTAGACACATCTGAATCCTATTTGAACCACGGTATTTAAATATCAGCTGTAGACTATCTTGATTCATCATTGTCATCAATAAAACATAAGGCTTGGGTTTATATGAATACTTGAGGTTGGACACCCATCTTAAGATATTAGAGTGTTTCTGAGCACTTTATTTCATTAATTAGCATTTACTAGCAGATTCTTCAAATTATAGGGTCCTGGCTCCCCTTGGCAGTTACAAAGCTGTAACTCTACCAGTCAAATATGTATCAGATGGTAATAGAGGAAATGTGTGCTTAAAGTAGGCTGTATAAAATTAAATGAAAAGACTCATCTGTCATGCTAAAATAAGTTCACAAGAAAGAATTCAGATCTTTTCAGAAACACAAAGAGTACCACAGTAAAGGTTTTTACTTCTCTCAGGTTCTTCTCAGAAAAGAATTTATGTATTATAGATGAGTTATTACTGAGAAAGAAAAAGGAAAAAGGTGGTTTTGGATTTTGTTTTAAAATGAAGCCACTCTGAGGCAGTTTGTAGATGAGGTGATGTTGACAAGGAGGAGGAAGGGTGCATCCAGTAGAACTCCTGTGTCCCTCCTAGCCTGAATTTCATAAGGGCAGAGACCACATCCGATTCATATTCCATTTCCCAAGACCTGGCATGTAATAAATATTTTCTGAAATGAATGTTCATCCTGGCTCTAGAGGGAAAAGAAATAGAAAGAATAGAAAGTCAAGGACCCCTTTAAGGTATGGAGTAAAGAAGACTCCTGGGATACTAGGAATTTTTAGTATGTTCTTGTAGGTTATAAACAGAGGTGCTTGCTACTCTGAAAAGCTTCAGTGTTAGTAAGGGCAACAATACCAGTGTTAACATTGCTTTTAAATACTTGGAAGTTCAGTAAATAATATTAAAATTGGACAAGTAATAATTAACAATAGTAGAAGTAATTGAAAAGTACTCCTATATACAAAGGTGTTAGAATATCCTTATTTTGCTACAACTAGAGCTGATTGTCCATCCCTTATAAAAGAGCACAATTCACTGTCCTTTACTCAATAGTGTCAGAAAGGAAGCACGTGTTTATGTACATAGCAATTCTGAATATACTGTGAGCTTCATCCCCATCAATCCCATCCAGTCACAGAAGCCCTAACTTCATAACTCAAGGTACAACTTGGACATGGCTTCTGTAATTGCAAGCATTGTGCCCAAAGAAAAAAACAAAACAGCCCTTGGGCACTATGTGAGATGGGCTGCTGAGTTCCTCCCTTAAGATAAAATAATAGTACTTAACTCCCTTACCAGAAAATAAAAGAAACTTAAAAATGATATTTATGTTTTCCTTTCTTCTAATGAGACCTAACAGATATCAAAATATATAAAGAGCAGGTGACTCTAACAATAAAATATAGAAAAAGATCAACTATTCAACAGAATATTGATTCATACATTGGTATTCTTACATTCTTCATGTTGCTACCTATAACACCAGTATATTTTTCTGCTGATGAAGTGATTCTTTGTTTGATAGAAAAATACAACCAATATTCATGGCATCCCAGAGAGGATGCCTAGTTCCAAATGTCACATCAGCCAAACAAGTATAAGGACCACCATTCTAGGAGAGCATGCTTTGAAAACTCCAGTGACAGATGTCACCAGAAAATACTGCCTGTAGCAGAGGTTAATGTCTAATCCTGATTCAGTTAGAATCCTAGGGTTGTAGAATCCAACTAGTATTTTAGATTTTTGAGGGTGGCCCAGAGGTGACTTGTAGGGGAACTTGGCAAGGATGGAGAAGAAGGAAGTAACATTTTATTGGTTAAAGGGTTGGGAGAGAGAGCAGGGGAAATTAAATGACTATCTAAATCATCTGATTTATAATATAAGTTAAAATCATAGTTGTACATGTTCCAGCCTAACTTCTGTGATAGACTGGGGGCGAGGGAAGGTGGAGGATGGAAAAATAGGGAATGAGAAGGAGGGAGAGATAGGACATGGAATGAAGGAAGCATTTAAAGGAATGAGGCATTGGAAAGGCTCAACATGTATGGATTGCATTTTGCAAAATCAAAGTTGTTTCTTAAATGGCAAGTAGTGAAGTTATCGGTCATCATGATGAAGAAACAACAATTCCCTAGAATTCATCACATCTAATCTGGAATCTACTGCCTGGCTTTCAAGGCCTTCTCTAGTCTCCCCACCCTTTATCTTGTTGATCTCATTTCCTACTACACGGGTTACTTCAGTCATGTGAGAACCTACTGGGTGCCAGACCTGCTCCCAATACCATACCCTTGGCCTACACGCTATTCCAACAACTGGAAAACTTCTCTCTAAGTACCTAACTGGCCTTCCACAAGGTCTAATTCCAATCTTACCTCCTTTATGAAATTATCTCAGGCTACTCTAACAACAATTATTATTGAGTTTTTACTCTACACCAGGTGGTATTGGAACTCTGCTGCTAACATTTGGCAAGTATTGTTGCTAATTCTCAAACTATTCCTTTACCATTCCTTCACTCATTTGGTATTGACATCACAGCAATTATACAACTAGTGAGCAGCAGAGCTAGGCTTGGAAACCAGGTCTTCCTGACCCTAAAATCCAGGCCCCTTCCAATACCTTGTCACATTTATCCTCTTTACTGGTTTATCCATAGTTGTACCAGCAAGCTTTGCATTGCCTCTTGTGTAGTCATTCTAAAAGAATGAGTGCAGCACAGTGCCTTGAGTACTCCTCTCCCTACAGCTCCACACAGTGTCAAGCCTATAGAAGGTCCACAAATGCTGAAATAAGTTAAAAGATGATTTTAATAGGAATAGTCTCTCCAACTTATTTGGTTTGAATTTTGAAGGCTTTATACTGTTCCCAAAACAAGTTACAAAGCGTTTTTGTTTTATTGATATTTGGCAATATCTGTGTTTTAATAGAAAAAAAAGCCCCAGGAATAAAACTAATCTTCCTTACAGAAAGAGAGTGGGGAAAAAAAACCAGAAACCTCAGGCTTCCATATGGGGGAATTAGGAAGAGAAAATGATTGAGAAGTACTGACCTCTCAATCTTAAGCATAAAGAAAGGATCCATCAGTTCCTCCAGACAGATTATTAGAAAAAGGGATTTGGGGTGAGATAATAAGAGGAAAAAAAACAGCCCACAAGGGTAACAGGTAATGCTAAAAGGAAATTTATAAGAAAAACAACAAGAGAAATGCCAAATCATTATTTTGCAGGATGTATGTATCATTTTCTAGAATTTCATAATATTATTTACTTGCCTACTTGTTACTTATTTATATATATGTTATTATATATTATTTATATAATATATAATATTAATTTATATAATTTATCACTTATCACTACCCTAAAAAGCCATGCTGGACATATATACTCAGGGCCAATTGGTTACTAAAATGGCTAAAGGACAGGCTACACCATTAAAGACACTCAGGGAAGGTGAGATAGAGGAAAGGAACGTGGTTGTCAATTACTACTGTGGCCAGAATATGGATTTCTACTCCTAATATGAGGGAAAGCTTTTATTCAATTTGTAGCACTTTTCTACTTTACCACTGAACATTTTGATGACAAATATTTCCAAGGCCAACAACACATAACTGCTGTCAACCTCTTAAAAACGGACTAGAAGTATATTAAACCAGAGGACTCTCTTTATGATCGAAGTAGCCCAGAAAAAATGTGCTACAAGTGTGTGTTACATGTGTTACATGGATGTTCAACCCTGAAGAACCTAGGATAATGTATCTGAAGTCACCAAGTCCAGTCCTGGTGTCTCACCCCACGTTCTCACTCTGAGAACACTGAATCTCAAAGGTAAGAAGCATTAACTATCCCAACTTAAGAATCTACTAGAAAATTATTCAAAAGTCATATGTATATCAAAATAGGGCATCATGAAGAAACTTCACCACCAGCTCCTCAAAGTGGCATGGCTTGTATCTTTCAAGATAACTTAAAAATGGCAGAAGAATTATTTACCACTTAAATGCTGGGGTAAATGTTTTCTCTCAGTATAAATAAAGTGTAAACGGAGTGACGGCTCATACATATCAACTACATACAAGTTCTGAAATACATATATGCACCTTAAAATTCCTTTTTCAGCTCAACTATTTTCTCAGCTTTCTGATTCTAAGCAAGATTATGGTACCAACATTTTAGGTGTGTCTCTGCCATATTTGGCATAAATTATGAAGAGTCCAGCTTTATTTCTGAAGACTTATAAGACTCATATCCCTCTCTACAGATATTAGTCCACATACTTACCATTGCAATATTCATTCTGAATGATCACGTGGTCATCTTCTGCCCATGAGGAATAGTAACGTACCACATGCGGGTGATGCCCAAGCACTGCATGAGCATAAACTTCATGCAAACTCAAGTTCCTGAAACAGAAAAGCACTGAGAAAAATTAATCAAGACAATTTGTACATTAAGAAGTTTTTAAAGAAAATATGAGGCATGAACAATGGCAGAACATTTGCTGGGTGCTTACTGCATGCTTATTATTTTATCTCGTTCAATCTTCATTGGTAAGACACAGTGGAAAATATGAAGTCTCTAGAAAGGAGTGACTGGTCCAAATTCAAAGTGATAGTGGTTAGACCAGAAGCTTGGTCAGCCTGGTACCAAAGTCCTCTGTTGTTATACTGAACATGGCATATGTGAAGAGGAATCTTAGGTGTTTACTGTCACAATAGTAGACAGGCTCAGATCTTAATTTCACTGTGTCACAATATAAAAACCTTAAGGGCTTAACAAGAAAGTCACCATACCACCCATGGTGGATATTGTGATGGGTCTCTATCTTCCCTGTAAGGCTAGATTGTCATTAGAGTCTTTTTTTTTTTTTTTAGTTGTCAATGGACCTTTATGTTTTATTTATTTATATGCGGTGCTGAGAATCAAACCCAGTGCCTCACACATGCTAGGCAAGTGCTCTATTACTAAGCCACAACCGCAGCCCCTCATTAGGGTCAATATTAAACTCAGTCAATATGATATAGTCATAGAGAGTCTTAGTGATAGACATTTGTTATACAATAGGAAAACCCAATACAAGGTAAGCAAAATATAGTACTTGATGAATTTCAATATAAAAATGAATTTCAAAGTCTAATTTCAGGATTCAGCATAGTATTATATCCAAAGAATTCATAAAAAGTATTGGTGGAATCTGAAAATATTTGTTTTCCTTATAACCAAGGAAGAAATTGCTAACAATTAGCTCTGGGATGAAATATAAATTCTTGTAAATAATTTTTCCTTGTGTATTGTCTCTGAAACTTGACCATTGTATTCATTATTAATGCAAAGTAGAGCTAACTCAGTGAGTCAACAATAACTTCTTTCTCAGCAGTATTTCTGATGAACTAAACAAGTATCAAAAGATAATTCCATAAATCTACTCATTAAAAAAAAAAGTAAGACCAGTACTAAAATGTAAAAGCTAAGAGATTTACACACACACACACACACACAAATTTAAAAACCCACACTCACAACAGTATTTGAAATTATCATGTTATAGTTTAGGAACTTGTCTCTGGAAAAAGTGATCTGAAAAACTCAAGAAAGTAATGAACATAAGAGGTTATACACTGGGGGAGGAGAATTTTAAAATGACAACAAAGAAGTAACGAGTATGTGTTTCATGCTATCAGCACTAGCATTTAAAACATTTTGAAAAGAAACAGCTTTCCAAATCCAAGATTGCACTTCTAGTGTATTTCGAAGGTACTCACTCATTTGACAATTCTGTAAAAGGTTTTGTAGAGCGCTTTATGGCATAAACACATCCATCCAGCCTCTTAATGCACTTGTAGACTGTACCAAATTCTCCAACCCCGATTTTTTCTACCTCCAAGAATTCCTTTTCATAGCGGGAAGCCATGTTAGTTTCTTGCAGAACACTTTTCTAAAATATTTTTATAAAAAGAGAATTAGAATAACTCTTCCCAACATATTGTGAGCAATAAAAAAGAACCATATTACATTCTTAAATTCTTTAGGTTTTGAAAAAGACTTGGGGCAAATGCAGTAGGTTCTATTTATGTCCATATTCACAGTAGCAAGAATCCCTCAAGGTCTGACTACCATCTCTGTTCTTTGTAACCTTCCGCACAATTCTGTACTGACATTTCTTGTGCATTCTCTAATGGTCTTTCTTCTACCTAGTCATATTATTATTTTCTCTATGTTCCTACAGAGAACACATGTTGTCATACCCAGCACTACCGTCCTCGGCTGAAGGAAGAGCAAATCAAAAAACCAAAACGTCCCTTTGAATCTCTTCTTTACATTCCTCACAGTCCTCATGCTAAGATTTCTATCTCATATTGAATGGACTTGGTTACAAATAGTTCTCTCAAAAATCTTGGCCTGAAGAACAAAAAATACTCGCTTGATTAGTTCAGAATAAATGCTCAAGCAAAGCAAACCTTCTCCCTACTGGCCAACTAGTGACATCCCTCATTTCCCACCTAGTAAATAATTCCAGGCAAATAATTGAATTCCTTTATCAGCTTTCTCATCTGTAAGATGAAGATCATAGCAACTGCTCCTTAAGATTATTACATGAAAATATATAATATCCTATTACTTATATTGTATGTAATAATAAGATAGATAACTTAGTAGAATGCCCAGCACATAGGAAATTTTCAGCAAACTTATGATCAGCATCTCCATCAATTTACATGAATTTGATTTGTCTACCAAAGTCATCTTTTCCTAATTTCCCAATTAGCAGAAATTTTTATCTTCTAACTTCAGTGGTTTAAAAAATATTAATTCTTAGCCAGACACTATGGTGCACATTTGTAATCCCTGCAGCTTGGGAGACCAAGGCAGGAGGATCATGAGGTCAAAGCTGGCCTCAGCAACTTGGCTAGGCCCTAAGCAACTTAGTGAGACCCTGTCTCAAAATTTTTTAAAAAATTAAATAAAATTGGGGATGTGGCTCAGTGATTAAGCACCCTGGGTTCAATCCCTGGGATCAAAAATAAGTAAGTAAATAAAGTTTTTTTTTAATTTTAACTAGTTCATTTTGACTGCAATGATACTTTTATTTATATTTATATCTAATTAGTTATACAAAACTGTAGAATGTATTTTGACTCATCATACATAAATGGAATATAATTTCTCTTTCTTCTGGTTTTACATGATGTAGAATCACACCAGTCATATAATCTATATACAAATAGGGTAATAATGTCTGACTCTTTCTACTATCATTCCTACTCCCATACACTCTTCCTTCCCTTTACTCCCTTCTGTTCAATCCAAAGTATCTCTATTCTTCCCTAGCCCACCCTTATGTATATTAGCATCCACATATCAAATTGTTCTATTTGTGTCAATATTCACAGTAGAAGTGAAATAAGAATTGTATGTGAAATAAGATAATGCATTATATAATGCATTATGCTGTCATATAAAATAAAAAATATATATATTATAAAATATTGTTACAAATCAATAACATGAAGAGAGAGCCTACATAAAAGGAGAAAATCTTTACCACATGCACCTCAGGTTCAGCATTAACTTTAAGGATATATAAATAACTCAAAAAACTTAGCATCCAAAAAAAACAAATAACCCAATTAATAAAAGAGCCAAGGAACTGAAAAGACACTTCACAGAAGGAGAAATGTGCATGGTCAAAAATATATGAAGAGTGTTCAACATCTCCAGCAATTATAAAAAATGTGAATTTAAACTACACTGAGATTTCATCTCACTCCAGTCAGAATGGCAATTATCAAGAATACAAGTAACACTAAATGTTGAAAAGGATGTGAGTGTTGAAAAGGTACACTCATACCTTGCTCCTAGGTCTGCAAATCGGTTCAATCACTATGGAATTAGTATGTAGAGTCCCAAGAAAATTTGAGATTGTAATCATTATTTGACCCAGTCATCCTACTCCTTGATTTATACCCAAAGGACTTAAAATCCACATACTAAAGTCAGGCAGCCACATCAATGTTTATAGCACCTCAATCTACAATAGCTAAGCTATGGAACCATCCTAGATGCCCTTCAACAGATGAATGGTTAAAGAAAATGTGGGATATATACACAGTAGCATATTACTGAGCCTTGAAGAAGAATGAAATTATGGCACTTGCCTGTGAATGGATGGAGCTAGAGAATATCGCCCCAAAACAAAGGCCAAATGTTCTTTTTTAAAAATTTTTATTAGGTTATATGAGACAGCAGAATGCATTTTGATTCATTGTACACAATTTCAGCACAACTTCAAATGTTCTTTTTGATATGTGGATGTTAACTAGCTCATTTTAACATCCAATTCCAATCAGTCTTCATCATCTAGGTCTCTAATTTCCATTGCCCTTAGCCAATCTCAAGACATTTACTCCATATCTGGATTTATTATAACTATTGTCCCTCTTTCTAACTCCTTTAATAGTAAGAATTATTTTTGCAAAATGATACCACAGAATCAAACAATTAATTGTTTCCTGGTGAGAAATTTAAATGTCTAACAAGAGAACTGAAGGCCCTCTCATCAGATGCATAGTGCTACCTTACCACCTTCATCTCAGATACCAAATCTGCCAGCTCACCATCCTTGCAATTTCCCCAATCCCACCCTCTCACAACATAACCTCCTCCACCTTCAGAGCATTTACTTATTCCTTTGCCCAGAATTATTTTGATACACTGTATTCTGGTGGACTTTCTTCCTACATCTTTTCTAACCCTCCACCAAAGTTTTAAATAAATACATGGGTATGTATATACACATCACACAAGTATATAAATAAGTATACACATCTTTTAACTTCACATTTATGTTCAGATTATTTTGAAATTTCAAAGGTGTTAGTTCCTCTTAGGAAGTGACTTTCATATAGTTTTTATTCCTTATGGGAACCAAATACAAGGTGTTTCACATATTAAATACTTAATGAATATTTTTGACATTTCTATCTGAAGCTAGGAGATGCCTTACAAAATAAGAATAAAATTCCAAGAGTAGTGAAGGCGTAAGTTAGAAACATCTGCTTATAAAAGGAAGCATGTGCCCATGGTCGTCTTCTCCAAAATGGTTACAGTCATGTTTTAAAATATCAACTGCTTTATGCAACAGATAAAATTTGCTGCAGAAAACTTAAGGAATTAGAAGGAAAAAAATTAAGTTTCCACTATTCGAGTAGTTTCCACTAATTCAATGAATATGTAACACATAATTGTGATCATCCCTCATTTAGTTTTTTGAGGGTTCTTGTACACTGAACATTGAACTGATCCATGTTTTTATACATTATAAACACCTTAATTCCAATTTAATTTTTATTGACTCAATATCATATTAAATTAGTCATTCTTTTATTGGGCATTTAGTGACCCCCTACTTTTTGTTATCACAATTAAGATGTAACAAACATTTCTGAGTAGTATTTACAGTATTAGTTTCTTAGGTCAGATTACCAGAAGAGGAATACTACATGGAAGACTGCAAACAATATAAAACTCAATAGATAGGGACACATTTAAGAGCTGAAATTTGGACTAGCGCGTCATAGCTCAGAGAGGTGGTTCACCAGTAGAGAGCTTTTCTAGCATGCCTAAAGCCCAACTCCAGCAATGCACACACACAAACAAAAGCACTAAAATTTTACATACAAACCTCTGGTTTTATACCATTTTCCTCCATTCTGTTTTGCCATTTGAAAAAAAAGTCTGGATTTTCCTGTCATTTCTACATCCCATTAGTATAGAAATAAAGGGCTGGGGAGGGGGAGGGGGAAGAGGCAGAGGAGGAGAAAAAAGGAAAGAGGAAGCCCAAGGAGGACAGGAGCAGGGTGAAGACAGGGAGAGAGGGAGGAAAAGAGAAGGAGGTGGAGAGGTACAGAGGTGGGTACAGGAAGGAGGGTGAGAAAAGGGGGAGGAAGGAAAAAGAGAAGGGAGGGAGAAGGGGCAAGGAAGAGAGAGGTAAGGGAAGGGGGGGAGAGAGAAAGGGCAAAAAGGGAGGGGAGAGGAGAGATGAGAAGACAGGGGAGATGGAGAGAGAACAGGATGAAAAGCCTGTGTCCTGACAGCGGGGGCCAAAGAATCATGCTCACCTTGGCAGGCAGCCCTTCCAATTTGCCTTCCTCTGAGCCAGCTTCCTCACTAAGGAAAAAGAAAGACGGTGCATCAAGGTATGCTTATATATGATTAATGCACTGATGAAGCCTGGTCCTGTGCTAGGTTCTGGGGCTATAAGACAGTTTCTTCCCTGCTTTAATCTCTGTCTGAAGGCAGGGATAACCAGAAAGTTTCGCTATGAGAACATCAGGCAGGCTAAGAACAAAGCATTAGGACTGGGATTGTAGCTCAGCGGTAGGGTGCTTGCCTCACACGTGTGAGGTACTGAGTTCGATCCTCAGCATCACATAAAAATAGATAAAATAATAAAGTTTGTGTCCAGCTACAACTAAAGATTTAAAAAAAAAAAAAGCATTAAAGGATACCATGGACAATGTCCTGTTAAGTATTTCGAGAGTAAAAAGCTTTCTCAAAAGAGAGGATATGTAAGCTAAGATTCCAAGAATGAGTGGGATCCAGCTTAGGAAAACAAGTGGGAGTTCTAGGCAAGTAGAACACCATGTGCTAAGAATTGGAAGCAAGGGCGAGAAGAGAACATCTGTGAAACTCTATATGGGCATTATCATCCCCAATAAGCTAACCAACACAGACAGTGCTGCCAAAGTCCAGGTTAAAGATTTTCTCCATTCTGTAGGCTGTCTTCACACCTTTGCTGAGAAGAAGCTTTTAAGTTTGAATCCATCCCATTTATTGAGTCTTAATTTTACTTCTTGTGTTTTAAGAGTTCTGTTAAGGAAGTCAGTTCCTAAGCTGACATGATGATTTGGGCCAACTTTTTCTTCTATTAGGCGCAGGGTCTCTGTTCTAGTGCGTAAGTCCTCGATCCACTTTGAATTGAGTTTTGTGCACGGTGAGAGATAGAGGTTTAATTTCATTTTGTTACATGTGGATTTCCAGTTTTCCCAGCCCCATTTGTTGAGTAGGCTATATTTTCTTCAATGTATGTCTTTGGCATCTTTGTCTAGTAGGAGATAATTGTATTTATGTAGGTCTGTCTCTGTATATTCTATTTTGTACCATTGATCTACATGTCTATTTTGGTGCCAATACCATGCTGGTTTTGTTACTATTGTTCTGTAGTATAGTTCAATGTCTGCTATTTTGATGCCTCCTGCTTCATTCTTTTTGCTAAGGATTGCTTTGGCTATTCTGGTTCTCTTATTTCCAAATGAATTTCATGATTGCTTTTTCTAATTCTATGAAGAATGTCATTGGGATGTTAATAGGAATTGCATTAAATCTATATAACACTTTTGGTAGTATGGCCATTCTGAGTATTAATTCTGCCTATCCAACAGCACGGGAGAACTTCCCATCATCTAAGGTCTTCTTCAATTTCTGTCTTTAGTGTTCTGTGGTTTCTCAGAGCACTAATCTCAAGAATATATAAAGAACTCAAAAGACTTCACACACACACACACACACACACAAAAAAAAAAACCCCACAATAAATGAGCTAAGAAACTGAACAGACTATTCACAGAAAAAAAAATTCAATGATCAACAAACATGAAAAAATGTTCATCTCTAGCAATTAGAGAAATGCAGATCAAAACTACTCCAAAATTTCATCTCTCTCCAGTCAGAATGGCAATTTAAGCAATAATCAAGAATACAAGCAATAATAACTGTTGGCGAGGATGTGAGGAAAAAGGCACACTCATCCATTGCTGGTGGGACTGCAAATTGGTGCAACCACTATGGAAAGCAGTACGGAAATTCCTCAGAAAACTTTAAATGGAACCACCATTTGACCCAGCTACCCCACTCCCCAGTTTATACCCAAAGGGCTTAAAATCAGCACACTACAGTGATGTAGCCACATCAATGTTTTAGCAGCTCAATTCACAATAGCCAAACTCTGAAACTAACAGATGAATGGATAAAAAAATTGTGATACATATACACAATGGAATATTACTCAGTCTTACAGAAGAATGAAATTATGGCATTTGCAGGTAAATGGATGGAACTAGAGAATATCATGCTAAGTAAAATAAACCTATCCCAAAAAACCAAAGGCCAAATGTTTTATCTGATAAATGGATGCTGGTCCATGTTCAGGGCAGGCTAGGGAAGAATGAAGGAACTTTGAATTGTGCAGAGAGAAGTGAAGAGAGGGGTGCGGCTGTGGGGATGGGAAGGAAGGTAGAATGAGACAGATATTACCCTATATACATGTACGGTTACACTACTGGTGTACAGCCAGTGGAATGAGAAGTTATGCTCCATTTGTGTAAAACGTGTCAAAATGCATTCTACTGTAATGTTTAACTAATTGGAACAAATAAAAAGAAAAAGAAACCTCTAGGTTACATAATTAGTAAGTGATAGAACTGGGATTTGAAATCAAGTCTGATCCCAAAGCATTGGCTCTTCATTGCCACACTACACCCTCCTCCAACCCCCACCTGGAACCTGGCTTTCAATTCGGTTCACAGTTAAACTGTAAATATAAAAACTAAGAACTTAGACTTGGCTAAGATGTCTTGAATTATTCTTCAATAAGCAGAAAGCACTGATTAATATCCTTGCATGACTGTATTCTGGATCTTTAGGAAAAATTCATCTTACAGATCAGCCAGTAGATTTTTCTTTTTGGAGAAGTACAAGTAGAGGACACTACATTCATGGAAATAAATTGGTGAACACCTGTGGCAAATTTAGCACTACATTCTGATATTTATGAATGACATTTATATAAAATAACAACAAAGCAATAAATAATGGAGAAAAACACCATCTTAGAAGCAGTAAGAATATGACTCTAGTATCACCACTTTCATTGCCAGGAATCCAAGTTAGTTGTCTTTTCCTGCTTGCTTCAGTGAAAAGTGGAGCCATTGATTTTGATGACATACAAAGACTCCTAAAGAGCTAAAACCAATAGAATTCTTGGAAACCAAAGTAGCCTGGCTATACTTATGCTGAAATTTTGTTTATTTAAGATTTAGGAGACTGTTTTGAAAAAAACTTATTCAGCCACAAATCTCCATAACACATAGTCATTGATTCGTAAGAAAAAAACAACCCATCATGGTATATTTACTGCTCTGCAAAGTTGAGATTATTTACTGCACATTTATTTTGCTGGATACTTATGAACATATATAACTGTCCCCATTACAGAGGTAATTCCATTCTTAAGAAAAAAGAAATAATGGTAATGTTTTTGAGTAACATGCACGGTCCTTATTTGGATGATTTCTACCATTCCATGCCCTTTGTGGAATAGGGCAATTTGGCTTTGCATTTTTTCAGCACCTCTGAAAGTGGAAGAAACACTATCTTTTTATCTGTAATCAGTCTTCCACCACCTACAGAGAAGTTCAAATCCTTGTACTCTGGAGCTCTCATCACCAGTCACACAATGTACACTTCAAGCAGCAATATATTGTTTGTTGTGTGAACTACACCATGGGTCTGCTAGGACCAAAGTAACCAATTGAGACCCCTTGAATACAGTCCTTACCCCATTCAACTTTCTAACTGAAGTCAGAGATCTGTGAATTACTTTTCCCTGCTTTTACAGAGAAGTCACGGATAGTATTGGAACAGAAACATGCTAGAAACTGTGAAAACATCGGCACTTAAGAGGAAAGTCATGTAAACATTATTTAAACTTCATTCAAATAGTGTTCTTATTCCTAAACTTACTTTCTCTCTTTCCTTTCCCCTTGACTATAGAGGTTCTTAAAAGTTAGAGAGAGCTACACTTACACATTTCCTCGGGTCTTCCTCTTGCCTTGAAGGAATGATCGTCTATAGGACTCTGGGGTGAATGGATTAATATTGACCAGAGCCAGCGAGGTACTCTCATCCATGAGGGGAACAAATGTGTGTCTCAAATGCTTAGAACTTCGGGGAAGAAGCTTCCCTGTTGAAGAAATCTCCGGCGGGCCCACCAGGCTCTGAATGAGGATGACCAAAGGCAAGGCAGAATAGGGTTAGTAAAAAAAAAAAACAAAAAACTTCCATATCAGCTAGCTAATATTTGAACAAAGTGTTATTGCTAAAAGGGCCTTAAAGCAAACTAGTTGCATAATAACTGGTGCTCTATGAAAAATATAGAATCTCAGTCTCTATCTCTAAATATTCTTATTTATGAGGTGAACACAGGAATCTGTATTTTGTTAAGCTCCACGCCTTTGCCCTAGGAAATTCTGTTAGCTATCTGTGAAACCCACCAATTCTAATCCTACCTCCAATTTTTAAGGATGAGGACATTTCAACAAATAAAAATGATTCTATAGAAAACCCCATCCATATGTTCCATAGTTAATACTTTAACTTCAAAATTTTCACTCAAATATTTAGTGCCTACTAAGTAGCAGATTCTTGACTAGATACTGAGGGGTATGTTTGTGAATTCTAGCTCTTAAGAAATACATAATCCATTAGTTAGCAATTTCTCAGTGTCTCAGAAATAATCACTTTGTAAGGGAGAGATTTCCTAAACTAAACATGAGAAAATAAGTCCCCAATTTCACTTAAAATTTAGCATTAAATGAAAAAAAAAGCTCCATAAAGTAAGGTAAAGAGATTGAAAAATAGTGCTCTGAAATAATTGCTTGAGATTTCAGGTTTTGCAGTGGCTATAACCAATAGAAGTGGCTACCAATAAATAGGAGAATATACAATACTCCAAGTGTGGTACAGTAAGAGACCATAGACCTAACTCGAACCAGAATCAACCAAAGGGCAAAGGGGAAAGTCCAAGACAGAAAATTCTGAGACAACAGAATTCCATTAGTCCTAAGAGCCAGGAACCAGAGGATTACCTACGCTATAGATCTGCAAGTAGACAGTAGCACAGGTACCTCCCAGGGTAATCACTGCATTGTAGGTCTATTTATAAAAGAATTCTACCATTTGTTTTTTTTTTCATGTCCTATCATTCTCTTTTATTGGTTGTTCACAACATTACAAAGCTCTTGACATATCATATTTCATACATTAGATTGAAGTGGGTTATGAACTCCCAATTTTACCCCAAATGCAGATTGCAGAATCACATCGGTTACACATCCACAATTTTACATAATGCCCAATTAGTAATTGTTGTATTCTGCTACCTTTCCTATCCATTTGGATGGTCTCTGCCCCTGACTTTTTAGTATAGAAGCAGAAGCCAGACTATAATATGACTCATTAAAGAATGTGAATATACAAAGAATGAAAATGAGGCTTATTACATTCAATACATGATTGACATAAGTGGAAATGAATGAAGCTACAGAGTACACATAATAACATTTATTTTAGTGAAGAAATATGTTATTATCAAAGTCAAGGGTTTTTACAGTGCTCTGTCTGTGCCTTAAGAGTTTACAGGATGAATAATCTCAGAGGCTGTGGCCAACATCCTCACTGGTAAACTCTTGATTTTCTGCTGAGTTTATCATGAGAACTGACTATTGGTTCAAAATAAGCAGAACTACATTGTATCATTGATATTTTTCAATTACCATTGTGTTTTGGGAAACGTGTTTTCTATTTTTAAAATTATTGTAAATGGTTCCCTGAGAAGGAGTTTTGTGAGACTGATCATCATATGGAAAGCAAAATGCTTCTGTGACAGATGATGAAACATCCACACCTGGAACACAGTACATAGTTCTGTTGCCGCATTTCAAGGAAATTTTTTTTTAAAAAAAGCCTAAGAAATTTTCAGATTAAAAAAAAATGAAAGAAAAATTGGTCACATAGGGGCAGACAACATCAGAATTTCTAGTCTGTAAATAAGAAAGCCAACAGAATATATGAAGTCCCCTTATGATATAAGGACATTAGTAACATCCATTACAAAAAGGAGTTCTGCCTGGAGATAAAGCAGATTGACGATTCCTGGAAGATGACACAGATTGAGAGTACAAATATGCTCCAGAGCATGTAGATAAATCCCTCAGTCCCGCTCTGTGTGGAGGATTAAGGGAGACAAGGGAAAACTGGGGGTAGCTCCTAAACTTCTGAAGGTGAAAAGAGAAGGAAACTTCCCACACAGCTGATGTCATAGTATCTCAAGAAGAAAAGGCCCAGTTGGCACAATTAGTCCCCTGAGGCTTCGATCTCTTGAATATTCCAATCTGGTGGCTGTCAGCTAGTGGTCAATACATTTAGCCACAGTAACCCTACTACCTCCTGATGATGCTTTTCTATCTGTAGGTAATTCTGCTGGGAATTCCTTATAGAAAACTAAAGTCAGTTTCACATGATTTCTGGTTCTACTCCTTGGGCAAAGCTGAACAAAGCCAACCTTTCTTTCCTATGTAGAAAGGATTACCAATTATTGTCTCAGCATAGCATTACCAATTATCATCACCTTAACTCCTCTCTGCCAGTCCTGATCCAACTGTATTTTCATAAATATGCACTTTATGAAGTTGCATTTGTAGCTTCCCTCCCAAGCTCTAGTCTCTGCTTGGAAAACTCCAAATCATCATTTAAGACTGTTCTCAGACATTATTTCCTTTGGAAAGTCTTCCCTGATATTTTGAAGCTTAGTTCATAATTCCTTCTCTTCATGCCCTACCATTCTTCTAGCACACATGATCTGAACTTGAAATTATTTTTTTCATTATTTGTCTTTATTCATTTGGGGGGCACTTTTTTTGAAGACAGTAAATGGGTTTTGCCAACAGAAGTTCTGCTAACACATTGAGGTGTTAAGTTGAAAATGATCAAATGGATGAAACACAGTACCATGTCATATTGTCCTTCCCTACTCAAGTCACACTCTCAGCCAGTTCTTCTCCATGTATCAAAACTGTGCCAACTTTCATTGCCATTCTCGTGCTTCCTTCACCTGTTTATTTCCAGGTCACTCCACTGATAATCTGCCCAGAGAACTCTGACCACTCTTGAAGCACTTAACAAGGTCTTTTTGCCTTTTTCCCCTCCCCTCCCCCCTCTCCCTCCCTCCCTCCCCTGCTTTCTCTTTCTCTCTCTCTCTCTCCACCTCCCCATCCCTCCCTCCTCTCTCCTGCTAGATTTTAAGCTCTTTGAGGGCAGAGACTTTATCTTATGCTCCCTACCCACAGTGGATTCTCAAAAAATGAATGATTAATTGGTACCGAGATCACTGAAAAAATCTGCTGATGGATGCCTGAACATATTTTGTCTGCAGTTCAGACAAGCAGCTTAGTATTCCCTGTTAGGCACGCTATGCAAACTCAGCAGGCACTAAAGAGACCCGCTGACAGCAACTGTCCTGCAAGCAGGATCACAGATGTTATTATAATGATCTTAAGTACATCAAGCTGAGCTAGCAGGAAGCAGAATTAATACCCATCCTAGGAATCACACACCATGGCACCAGAGTCGATGAGAAGTAACCTGCCTCGACCCTGGATGGGATAACATGAGCAGTGTGATAGAAGACCAATTACGACAACAAAACCACTTCTTATTTGCCATTCCAAAATTTTAAAGGAATATCAAAAAGTTACTTTTTTGCTCTTCTATTATAAAAGAGCCTGCTCTTGACTAGGCTGAGTGGAGGGAGGAGTTCCTGCTGGGGAGAATAGAAGGCCATGAATATGTTCATGTGATTGTTCTTCTATTAGGGAAAAGTAAAATAATTTTCCCCCAAAATATAGTCAACTGGAATGATGGAAACAATGATGAACTAAGTCCAAAAGATGAAGTATCTAGCCCTGTCTCTGCCACTGGCTGAGCTAGAAGCAACCTCATCTATTGGGACCTTAATTTTCTCAAATGTAGTGCAGAGATTGGCTCTAGATCTCAGAATTACTTCTACGTCCAATACGCTTTAGGATCCTCCACCCCTCTTATTTGTGGCCAATGCCAAATAGTTACAGGCACCTATGATTTTGAGGAGACAAGAAGCAGATTCTTTTCAGTAGCTTTCCACTGTCCTTCATTTCCACCAATAATACAAAACCGGGGATATACAGAGCCGGTGATGAAAGTCTACCACAGACACACGGACAACTGAGTCCTGTTGCCGTGTCAGCTGAACTGAAGACAGGTTACAGTGACCCGACTCCTTTCCACAGCCAACTTACCTTGGGGGTGGAGGGGCTGTCACCATGCTGCAGCCTGCTCCTCTTGGCTGTTGGTGCTGGGGTAGCAGGACATTTGGGAGAAGCCGACTCTGGAGTCCGAAGAATTAGCTCTGGGCTTCCCTCACCTTTCTCCTGAGATGTGTTGCGTTCCTGAATGTTGCTGGGAGGAGTCGAAAAAGCCACCGAGTCCTGGGCCTCACCCACCTCTGGGCTTCCCTCACCTTTCTCCTGAGATGTGTTGCGTTCCTGTACGTTGCTGGGAGGAGTCGAAGAAGCCACTGAGTCCTGGGCCTCACCCTTCTCTGGACTTGGGCTCTGGGTCTCCCCATATTTTTGTACCTTTTTCTGCTCTTCACTTTCAGTCTCTTCTTCACTAAAGGAAAAGTTTAGTTTCTGGTTTGGCTCTTTGTTAACACCGCTGTCATCCATCTCGGTGAAAGAGCTTATAGCCCAGGTAAGGAGGTCTCTCTGAAGGGAACACTCCACACCTATAGACTTAAGGAGAAAAAAACCCCAGCAAGTTCTACAACTTCAGCCAGCCTTTCCCTCAACCAACAAACAGCTGTGTGGCATAGTGTTAAATTTCTCCCTTAAGTACCATGAATCTGTAAGACCTCAGCTTATCCTTATTTCCATTCTGATTACAGAAAATTCCTAGTAACTCTCTAAGCAATTAAATCTGATTCATATACAAAATTTTTTCTGTATGCCCTAGAGTGTCCCTGTTCCCATGTGCTATAAAATAGTAGTGAGGTTGTTGGATTCCTTTAATTTAGTATGGCTTTAAAAATACCCATTAGCCCATTGGGGAATAAGCTCATTATCTAACAAATTATTTTCCCTCCTCTACACCTGCCTTATATAAATATCACCCTCTCTTATTTTCTCCTCCCCAAGCACCTAATGGCTAACAGCAGATCATTAGAATTTACCATCACCTGGATATCATATTGATCCTTTTACAGCCTCGAACATATCTTGGCTGGAGTTTGTATCCATGACAGGGACACATCTTAGATCCTTGCCAGATACACTTGCCCTAATTCAGACACCCTTCCTCCCCACAATATTAGTGGTTAAAGCTCTTAGTGAATTGAATAAAATTTTAAACTGACCAAAGAAAGATCAGCAACACTAAGAAGCAAATGTTGGACACTTTAAAATGACAACTATTTTTCCCCCCAAAAAAAAGTCTTACTTTGTAAAATTATTTTCCTTACAGTTTAGGTAGCTCTAATATACATTATTTAACTTTTCTCAGATTGCCCAAATGAAGGGTAAAAAACTTTTTGAAGTAAAACCCACCAAATGACCCAACAATCTCTCTTCTTCTGGGTGTACACTCAAGGGAAATGAATTCAGAATCTCAAAGAGACATCTGCACCCATGTTCACTGTAGCACTATTCACTATAGCTAGGATACGGAAATAACTCAATTGTCCATTGATGGTCAGTGGACTTTTTAAAATGAGGTACCTTATTCAATAGAATAGTATTCAGCCTCTAAAAGAAGGAAATCCTGCCACTTATGACAACACAGATGAACCTGGGGAACATTTTGCTGAGACATAAATTAGACACAGAAAGACAAATGCTGTATGATCTCACTAATATATGGAACCTAAAAAGTCCAACTCACAGAAGCAGGGTAGAACTGTGGTTGCCCTGGGCTGGGGAGAAGTTGGTCGAAGGATAAGTACCATCTGTTGTATGATGAATGAATTCTGGGGAGCTAACGTACAACATGGGTGGTGATGGATTTATTAATTAATTTGATTATGGTTATCATTACACAATGATAACATTATACAATGTGTGTGTATGCGTGTGTACATATATGTCTGAAAGAAAAAGAAAACAAACCCCAGAAATACCACTTTATAGGAGAAAACCATGTGAAAGTGAGTTTATAAAAAAGGAAAATGACACAATACCATTAAGAGGTTCTAGAGGGATGCAGCTGGCATAGAAGAATTGTTTACTAGATAAACAAGGTGCAGGGAAGGATGTATGGAGGGAACCTAGGCAGCTCCATGAGTTTGAAACAAATTTCCCTTCTCTTGACAGTCTTATTTTAACCATTGCTTGTCACCACTTCCCTATTCCATGGATCCTGCACCACTTTCTCTTGTTCCATTGTTTCCCATTTCCAACCAGAATTCCTGAAGAGGGCAACCCAAATGAAAGCCATCTAGGAAGATGAGAAAGTGTCTATTCAGTTAAAAACTGAGCTTTGCAGGTAGGTGTACCATGTCACCCTGCCTTGGCCCTTCCTTATTCCCTCCCAGCCACCCAAACTGTCCTGGATAATTCTAGCATGCAGTGGCTCACTGCTCACCTTTGTCACAGATTCATATCCCGTGAGGGCCAATAAGAAGCATCAAACGGGAGGGAAGACTCACAGGTTACCAGTAAAGGAATTGCAATCTATTGAAATTCTGGGCCTAGGCGTGCGTTTCTTGCTTACAGATCAGTGGGCCAGATGATGGTGTTGATCAGTTTCCACTCACAGCCCCACAGTTTGTCATTCCTGCCTCTCTGGGCCAGCTGGGAGCTGGCTTTGCTTCCAACGGAGTAGGGCCTGACCCCCAATGCTGAGCATGCCTTAGGCCTGGAGGCAGGGCACCAATGCAGGCTGAGAGGGTATTACCTGGTAGACTAGGTATTTCATATTATCAGCCCCTTTCCTTTTCTCTCTCCCTTGCTTTAATTCGTAATCACTCATATTTATGACTATATTGTTTGCCTAGGAAGGCAACTAATGCCATTGTTATAGTTTAGTTCTCTTCTTATCAACAGTAATTCTATTAGAAACTTGCACCATTCACTTTTCCAGTTGTAATAGAAGTTGTTGAACAGACAAAGGACAGAGATCCTGAGAGAAGTTCACCTTGCATCTCAGGTTGTATTTGAGCCCCTAAACCATGGGCTTGGAGGAAGCTCACCTCTTGCAGACACATTGTAGGAAGAGGAAGAAGCGCCTAGACTCCGCTCTGTCCAAACTTTGGTTCTGAAGCTTTAAACACACTGATGGAAAGAAGAGGAAACAGGAAAATCTACCTATGGCAACTGATTTTGCAAGAGTTGGAAACTTGCATTCAATGTTGGGGTAGATTGCTCCTTTGAAAAAGTTTAAAACTAAGGCTATGGATGTTGAGATACTTGTTTGAGAGTCTGTCACTTCAAGGAAGGACATTACTGATTGTCACCTCAGAGAGTGAATTGCAAAACACATCTGAACAGACTGAATAAGCTCTACCACATTACATAAGATTGAGTTAAGACTGAGTCATTCAGACTCTGAAAAAATAGTGATGTTAGATCATCATGTATTAGATGAGACTGCTCCCATTGGAAACTACTGGTTTCCATACTCTGCTTTTTGTTTATAACTTTTTTAAAAAAACTTTTTCTTATGAAAGTGTTCAAACATACCAAAAATCGAGAAAATAGCATAAGGAGTCACAATATATTACAACCTAGCTCCAAACATTATAGGCATTGTTACAACCTTGTTTAATTTTATATCTGAAGTTTTGTTGGGGTGGGTGTGAGGGTATTTTAAAGCAAATCCATGATAACAAGGTCATTTTACCAATGAGTATTTTGATGCCATTAGTAAAAAATATCTAGGTCAATCCATTCATTCGAAATCTATAAATCTACCTGTTCAAAAAATTAAGCTAATTTTAATGAATTGATTCTCTCACCAAACCTTATCCTTGGCTAAAACCAGAGCCTTTTAACAGCCTGGTTATTGTAATAGAGATAAGCTGTGTTTCAGCCCACAGACAGTCTTCCTAAAATAGGAACACATTTCTGACCTGTTGTCAATCATTTAGAGATTGATGATGTCCTGCAGATATTTTAAAAATTCAGTCTGAACTCACTAACCTGACCTGTTATTCAGTTGGGTTGTGGTTATTTCCAGATTCCCTAAAATTAGAGCAGATAATGGATTGACTGTTTGACCTATACCAAGGCCAGCCCTGTAGCTGAAGGTGAGATCTCTCACCTTCCCTCCCTCTGTGCAGATGTGCACGCAGACACACACACACACACACACACACACACACACAATTTGATTGGGAAGAAATGAATAAGTATGAAAAATACTCATTCTTGGAGCTGTAGCCCTTCTGCCTCTCTTGACTTACTGTCTCTTCTGTCCTGCAAAGGACTAGTAACTTGATCAAACATTCTCAGCCTCTTTTTACTTCTGATCTGTCTGAAAGGTCCCCATGCTGAAGTTGTATCTTAATAAAAAAATTAAGGAAAACTTTTAATTATTTATTTGAAGAATATGATAAAGCAGAATTAAAGCTTTTCCATAGGGGTAACCACTGAAAACTCTAAAAGTCAAAGGTGGTTATCTCTACGGCCAGAATGGGACGGGGTATTAGAGGAGAAGGCAATCACTGTTCATCACATGTCTTGTGTGAAGTTTGACATTTAATCTTTTGCCATGAATAGATGCTTATTAAATGGTTAAAATAATGTTTTAAAATGTAACCAAGTGACCAAAGAAACATACATGCTTTAAAAACTAGTCCCTAAAGTGCTTGAACCACTTTGCTCTTCCCTCTTAGTTTTTCTGGCTTCTAAACTCTGGAGGCTCTGGACTCAGTTCCACAGACTTTTTCCTGGGTATACTCACTTTATTGGAGCATCATTCACCCCACCTGGAAATGCTATTTATAACAGGTAGCTTCTGAATCTATATCTGTGTCTCTGGCTTTTTTCTTGAAGTTCAAATTTTAGCTGCCTTATCACATCTCCCTTTGCATGTCTAATAGGCACCTCAATCTTAACATGTCCAAACATCCCAGTGAAACCTACTCCTTCTGCACTTTTTCCATATATCAGCAAATGGCAATAGGTGAGTACCTCCCCCTCCCCACCAACCCTACATTCAACCTGTTACTGCTCTTTACCGGTGAGGAGTCCTTGCTTCCCTGAATGCTGAAGTACAACACCAGGGAAGCACGCGGAGGCAAGTTTAGAGTGGAAAGTAGAAGCTTTATTAAAGGACAGCAGAAAAGACTTCTCCCCAGGAAGAAGGGGACCCAAAAGGCAAATCCGAGGAAGGGCGAGGTCTTCCCTTTTTTATAGCCAAGGTCTTCTTTCAGCTTTCCCACATTTCCTGTCCTTTGTTCTCGGTTACCTTGCAGTGATAGAATGCAGGTGGGAAGGTCCAAAAGGTGGGAGATAGGTGGGCTGAAAGAGTAATCTGGGCAAGAAGGGCCTGGGGCAGCTTCTGATCAGCATTTCCCTGTTTGCTGGGAGCTGTTTCTTTAACAGTTCCTTAGAATGGGTTCCCAGGGCCTTGGGGACATTAACATTTCAATTTCCCCAAGTGCTGCTCTGGTTTCCTGGACTCCATTCTCTATAATGGCCTCCATTTTATTTATCTTATTCAACATTAGACCCGATTTACCTAACTACACTAACTGCCTATCTTTA